AAAGCCCTCGACGGCTATTTGTCCACCAAAGCTAAATAGGCTCCCATATCCAAGGATAATATAACCTCTGAGGATTAGACAGGCAGCTAGGGCAGGTTGTTGCCTTTGGGTTCTGCTTGTTTGCTTCCTGGAGGCATCTGCTTAGCCACTGCGGAAAAACAGGATGTTGGATGTGTTGTTTGAGTTCTAGCTGATGAACTGAAGACAACTGCAATTTATTACATCTGTATAAATGCACCTGTGAATAAATAATATTGCTGAAGGGGGAAAGATACATACTTCACTGGCTATGCTCAGAAGGTCATAAGAAGGTCCACTTCAAAGGCCCATTGCGTCCAGCATCCTGTTCTCACAGTGGCCAACCAGAGGTCTTTGGGAAGACCACCGGCAGGACCTGAGCAATTCTCCCTACTTGTGATTCTGAGCAAGTGGTATTTAGAGTCATGCCACTTCCAGTGTTGGACGTAGTACCCAGACATCATGACTCATGTTGCACAGCCATTGCCATCTTAGAACACGAATCTCCTTCAATGGAGAAGCTGGCTTTTTTTTCAGGTTTGTGCATTATTATTTTTTATATATAATTAATGCAGTTGCGTTTTTATTCAAAACAGGGTAGTTTGAACTGATTGATCTAATCACCATCAACAACAATAATTTTATTATTTGTACCCTGCCCATCTCACTGGGTTGACCCTACAAAACATTACAAACGTAGCAGGTGCGCTGCTCTGGTTCGCCAGAAGCGGCTTAGTCCTGCTGGTCACATGACCCAAAAACTGTACGCCGGCTCCCTCGGCCAATAAAGCGAGATGAGCGCCGCAACCCTAGAGTCGGTCACGACTGGACCTAATGGTCAGGGGTCCCTTTACCTTTTTAGTGTGAGGGAAAGATCATCTAATGAACTACTAGGTAATTGATAAGTTGTTCTTCTTCATTGGCACCCTACAATCTGCCTCCAGGAACAGGCTGGTGCACCCTGTCTCACAGTAGGGCCGGCCGTGCGAGACTGACCGAGTCCAAAGATCTGTTGTGTAAAGAAGGTGAACCTTTGCTGGAACAACCACCAGCTCAGCAAGGAAATGCCCCCCCCCAATCTATTCCTTGACACTTCACAACGTGTAATGCGAGTGAGTGTGAGCCACCCACAAGGCAAGAGACTGAAACTGCTAATCTGGTAAGACATCTGCTCTTGGAGGGGGAGGAGGGAGAGAGGGGAAAATGAGTCTGGGCCTTTGCCATCCACTCTGGCTATTACGTTCCTTGCTGTTTACAACATTAAGAGCAAGGTCTTAATGCTTTGTTCCTCTGTTTGAAGACAGTGTTCCCGACTTCCTCCTCCTCTCAGTGGATGAGATGTTCAAAGTAGTGCTGTTGAGACAAGAGTCAGGAGCTAGGAGTCACAAACCAAGGAGTCACAAAACAAGCACAGCCAATGTTGATGATTAGGGGGTAGGGCAGGGCCTAATGATCCTCCAGAGGTTGTTTGACTGAGGCTCCCATCAGCCCTACTCATCATGGCCAACAGACAGGCCAACAACATCCAGATGACCGCAGGTTCTTCTCTATCCCTGTTGAAGATACCCAAGTAATGTGCTGCTGCTGCTACCTTCACACACAATGCGTGAAGCTGCAGCGGGTGAGATGGCAAGCTGTTCAGTCCTCGGAGCCTTAATGTTAATGTGCAGGAATTTACATGCACGTTCTCTGGAGATGAGATACACTCACTGACTTGCTCAGTGTTAATTGGGAAGGAGGTGGCTGAATCTCGAAGCATGACTGCTCTTGCGACTAGCCCTGGCAACAAATGTTAAAAGTCCTTACCCCAAAAGGGGAGGTGGGGATTACAGAGACAGTATTTCAATAGGGGTCATAATTAGAAAATGGGAACTGTCCCTTGTAAATAGGGATAGCTAAAGTGTTTGTACTGGAGCAGGCTAGGGATCGAAAAGCAAGGACCCAGCAGGTCAAGGGCTGCATGTAACCCTCAGCCTTGTTGTTGTTGTTTAGTTGTTTAGTCGTGTCCGACTCTTTGTGACCCATGGACCAGAGCACGCCAGGCACTCCTATCTTCCACTGCCTCCTGCAGTTTGGTCAAACTCACGCTGGTAGCTTCGAGATCACTGTCCAACCATCTCGTCCTCTGTCATCCCCTTCTCCTTGTGCCCTCCATCTTTCCCAACATCAGGGTCTTTTCCAGGGAGTCTTCTCTTCTCATGAGGTGGCCAAAGTATTGGAGCCTCAGCTTCAGGATCTGTCCTTCCAGTGAGCACTCAGGGCTGATTTCCTTCAGAATGGATAGGTTTGATCTTCTTGCAGTCCATGGGACTCTTAAGAGTCTCCTCCAGCACCATAATTCAAAAGCATCAATTCTTCGGCGACCAGCCTTCTTTATGGTCCAGCTCTCACTTCCATACATCACTACTGGGAAAACCATAGCTTTAACTATTCGGACCTTTGTTGGCAAGGTGATGTCTCCACTTTTTAAGATGCTGTCTAGGTTTGTCATTGCTTTTCTCCCAAGAAACCCTCAGCCTAACTGCAGGAAAAACCTTCGGCCTTATTTTGTGTGCGAAGGGGAGACCAGAAGGAGAGAAATAGAGAAGGAGGAGGGGATGGTGGAAGAAGGCCTGGCAAGAGCGAACTCTCTCATCTGTCAGATGGGCAGGGAGAAAGAAGGGTGTGAGAGAAATGGGTGGTGGAAAAAAAGTGATAGAGAGAGAGAGAAGGGTTGACACAGAGAGAAGGGTGTCGGAGGGAGAGAAAGGAGTGGTACATAGAGAGTCGAAGAAGGCATGAGGAAGAGAGAGAAAAGCGCTGGCAGAGAGAGAGAGGAAGGAGGAGGAGCCTCGCCCACTCCTCCTTCTGGTCCTGCCAACCTCTCAATGCAGGCATGTAGCCCCTCCCTGACCATTGCCCTCCCCCCCCCCAGGGAATATGGCTCTCAACAGGGAAAAAACAAGGTTATTCATCACTGCTGTAGACGCTGAGCCCTGCACCCCCACAGAAAAAGGAGTTCCCTCCATAGCTACGCGAATCGCATCCTTTCCCCAACCCACTCAGAGTTTTATTGTTATGCCTGCCTTAAAAACAATACTAACTCCAGCACTTAAACCAGGCGTGAAATAAGAGAAGGTGCTTTTGAGAGGGGGGAGAATTTAGTTTGTGAATCTGATTCCCTCCCCTGCACACCCAAGTCAATCAGCTCAAGAGAGGAAGTGACTTCTCCTAGAAGGAAGGGGGGAAATGGCCAGTTTTTCCCCACCCCCACCTTCAGTCCCTCCCTCCCAGCAAGGCTCTTCCTTTCTGACAGCCTTGTGAAGTATGGATGAGCAAACTGGAGGACAGGGAGGGAAGCTGAAGCTGACAGGAAATCTGGGGACAAGTTGGAAACAGGCCCCCGGGTTGGGAAGGCGTCGCTGGAGCTTGGGGGAGAGGGGTGTCACTGCGCATTTGTCCAGGAAATGGGGGGGGGGGAGGGAGGGAGGGAGAAAAAGGGTTGATCTCAGGACACACTGTTGCATAAACAGGAGTTCTGGAAATCTGAAAACACACGCACACAGACCGAGATTCCGCAATTAGTCAGCTTAATAAATAAATGTGGCAAATTGAGCAAATTAGATTCATTTTCTTTAATGTGCCTCATTTTATATCCTCTCCCTGCCGCCGCCACATGAAAAGCAAGATGGGTGCGGGGAGAGCAGTGGGGCTGAAGGAGTGGAAGCGAGTTACAGGTGTTGACCAAATAACTTACAGTATGGGGGGGGCAGTATTTCTCTGAATATCAGTTGCTGGGAATCACAAGTGGGGAGAAGGCTCTGTTGCACCCAGGGCCTGCTTTCAGGCTTCTCGTAGGCATCTGTGTGGTCTCTGGCCTGATCCAGCAGGTCTCTTCTTGTGTTAACATGGACCCAAGACATTTATTTGAGAGTCCTGCTGTCTGCTTGGGAAGGAAGCTCCTGTTGTTTGTGGGGACAGGATGCAGGGGCGGAAGGAAACCACTCTGTACATGCTCAGAGGTACATTCATTTCTCATATCATATTACAGTGGTACCTCGGGTTACAGACACTTCAGGTTACAGATGCTTCAGGTTACAGACTCCGCTAACCCAAAAATAGTACCTCGGGTTAAGAACTTTGCTTCAAGATGAGAACAGAAATCATGCTCCAGTGGCGCAGCGGGAGTGGGAGGCCCCATTAGCTAAAGTGGTACCTCAGGTTAAGAACGGACCTCCAGAACAAATTAAGTTCTTAACCCAAGGTACCACTGTATTTCATATGTTTCTCTAAAAAAGAAAAAGCAGAGGCAGAGGCCTGGCCACAGATAGGAGAGGTTGGTGCTGAATGAGTTTGCATATGGGGAAAAGATGGTGTTGTGGAACCAAGATCAACAGGACCCACAAGAGATGTTTGTTTTTGCTTAGAGCACTGTTTGTAACACATCACATTAACAGAGTTTCTAACCTAGGACTAGAGCTGGGTGATATATTGATATATTGTCCCAAACCGGTTTGAAATCCATATTGTGATATCAGTGTCATAATTCTGAGCTGGCAATATATTGCAAATCATGGTGTGTGCGCTATGCAGAAATCACAATGTGGGGAAAAACATGAAGCCAGCCAGTGCAGTGGTACCTCAAGTTACATACGCTTCAGGTTACAGACTCCGCTAACCCAGAAATAGTGCTTCAGGTTAAGAACTTTGCTTCAGGATGAGAACAGAAATCGTGCTCTGGTGGTGCGGCAGCAACAGGAGGCCCCATTAGCTAAAGTGGTGCTTCAGGTTAAGAACAGTTTCAGGTTAAGAACGGACCTCCGGAACAAATTAAGTACTTAACCCGAGGTACCACTGTACCTAGCTCCATCCTTAGTTCAGACATTGTGATATATCAGTATATTGTGATGTTTAGCTGGTGGTACATCAAGAAGTTGAAAACCAGATATCACCCAGCCCTACCTAAGACCCATTTACCGCAGGTACTGTGATCCTTTGGGGACAGAGCCCTGCCTCAGTGGTAGAGCATCTGCCTGGCATGCAGAAGGTCTTGGGTTCAGCCCCCTGCATCTCTACATAGGGCTGGAAGAGGTTCCCTCCCTGGAGAGCTGCTGGCAGTCAGAGTTGACAGTACTGAGCTGGGTGCCTCAATAGTCTGACTCCATAGAAGACACCTTCCTGTGTAGCTGCAATGGCAGGATGCTTGGAGGGCGTTAGTTTTGGAGCACAGAAGACGCAGGATGCAGTTTCTTAGCAGGTCTGGGTCTGTTCAGCGCCTGGATGAGAGATTCCCTGGAAGAACTACAACGCTCCCTTTGCTTCAGTGTTGCCATGGAGGAAAGGTGAGGCCCAGACCTGCGTAGCTCCAGCAAGGCAGCTGCATCGCTTGCCTCCAGACCATCCCCTGGTAAAGACATGAATCATCTCCTGCACTCAAGCATCCCTTTCTCTGCACAGCAGCTGCAAGGTGTTAAATCCTTGCTTCTGAAACAATGTCTGGAGGATTTGGGCTGTGGAGAAGCGCATAAGCTGTGCCAAGCCCATCTGTGAGCTATCAGAGGCGGGGAGGCAGAATGAGTGTGGCAGGTGGGTGACAGACTTCAGGGCCTGTCATGCGCGGCGGACACAGGAGGTGGAGATGGGAAGGGCAGGAGCAGAGAGCGCAAAGCTTTCGACTAATAATAAATAGAACATCTGTCAGTCCATCGATTTCTTTGTGTTTTTCTGGCTCCACAGACGCCGTTTCCCTTCCGTTCAGTTTCTCCATCAAAACCGAAACAGTATTTAAAAGTAAAATTGTGCCTGATAGACTGTGAACATCTCTGTTCATGGCAGTCAGAACAAGCCCACACAGCGTATTTAAATAACTGGATCCCTTTCACTTACAAAAATAAATAGTGTCATTTATGTAATAACATTTTAAAACTCTCTCTCTTCTTTTTTTTTTTTTTTTTGAATCTATGGAGAGTTAAATGCAGCTCCCATTTTCTTTTCCTTAAAAAAAGCCCTAATATCCACCCCTCTCTATCAAACATGTGTATTGAACTGTAGTTAATTCTTCCTGCACACAGAAGCCCAGTTCAGATGGAAGGATCTCAGTGAGTAAAATAAACCATGGTTTATTGGACCACAGATAACCATTGTGTTTGCATGGTCCCCTTCCCTGCTCTTTCCACCACATTTTTATGCAATACGCCTGAGGTTTGCCAAGCCAGATACACATCATATCTGAAACAGGAGCTGCTTTAAGCCCTACCTATAAGCCAGGATTGTACAGCATGGGTTGTATTCAGTTCTACTCAAAGTAGACTCCTAAGTTAATCAAGTTCATTAACTTCAAAGGATCTACTCTGAGTAGGACTAGCATTTAATGTATTTATTATTATTATTATTATTATTATTATTAAAATGGTGGAAAGCAGCATCCGCAATCAATACTAACAGCAGATCACCATTTATCTATCTATGTGGCTGAGCTGAAGTCTGAAATGCAGGCTTTCTTGTTCACAGCTCTTTCTCATAACCACTATAAGCACATATAGCTTCTGCACAATAACCACGCCAGTAAATTTTCCCATGAGTGGCTATCAGAACAGCGCCCTTAAAACCCCCAATCAAAGAGTCAAATCACAGCTCTCTCCGTGCCACTTTCATGTTTTCCTTTCAGCCACATACAGAATGGGGGAGGGAAGCTGCTGATGTTGTTTTTAAAGCAGACCGCGAGTCTTGAGTTCAAATGCTGCCTCCAGGAGCAAGTTGGGCTTGAACCGTGCTCTTTTATTCATTTATTCGGGTGGCGGCTGCTGCTTTCGAATCCCGAGGCCGTTCCGGCCTATTTGTCAGGAGATAAACGGGAGTGTCCAACCAGGAGAAACGGCCTGTCAGTCTGATGTAGCGGAGAGACGGTGGCCAAGCGCTGGGGATGATAATCCGAGGCGGGCGCTCCCTCGGGCTCCCTCTCGTCCTCCGCACCCAGCTCTTTTCGGTCCTCCTTAATTATTTAGAGTGGAAATCATTACCCTCTAAAGGGATCTAGGGAGAAGGCCATTTTGAGTGGTTTGCACTGTGGAGGCGGGGCGGGAGGGCTAGTGAGTTAAAAGGGAGGAGAGTGGCTGGAAGCCAGACTCCGATCTCCCCTGGAAAGGCTAGGTAGTAAAAGCAGGGATTGGGGTGGGGGGTGGGAGGGATGGCTGCACTCAGGACGCCTGGGTTCTCAGATGGAGCGTCTTAAAAGGGGAGGAGGAGGGGCAGCCCTCTGCTAAGGCGATCAATAGCGCTCTTGTCCATGCCCGCCGGGCGCTGCTGCTCTCCAAGGTTCTGAAATCCAGCGCTGCGTCCCTGCGTTACGTGCCTGCTTGCCTGCCTGATTACGAGGAAAGTCCCCGAGGGGCTGCCGCCCCCTCTCTCCCTCCCTCCCGCCTCGCCAAGCTGTTGCCTTTGTGTCCATCAAGCGTCAGGGGAGATGCCCCCGTCCAATCAGCGGCTTCCCTGTCGCGGGAGTCCGTGCGCCCCGGCAGCTGCGTCTTCCTTCCCCTCGCCAAACCCTCATTGAGGCAAGATGGCTCTCAGCAGAAGGGAGCATCTTTGTTTTTGAGTGAGGGGCGTGTGTGTGTGTGACAGAGAAGCTGAGAGAGGAGACTGGGAAGGAGAAGCAACACGCCCCCATTCTGCAATGTAGAAACACTACAGCCTTTTGCAAGGGGGGGAAGCCAGATCTGGCCCTCCACACCTTCCAGTGTGGCCCTCAGGACTCTGAAGCCACACTCCTTAGCAGCCCTCACTTGCACTCTCCTCGCGAGTGCTTTTGCCTGGCTGGGATGTGTCCTGATAGGATAAGGATTCATGCTTGCCTGGCAGGAGGATAGAGATGGGGGGGGGGTTGCAGAAGCTAGCCAACTGTACAAATATATATATTTCATTTTGCCTCCCAGAATGCAGCCCTCAGGCTAAGGTTTCCCAACATTGCCGTTCTGTTGGATGAGAGCCCAAGGATCCAGGCTCCTGCTTTCAAACAAAGTATTATTATTGCTATTATTAAAATTTGTATACCACCCCTATATCCATAGATCTCCAGGTGGTTCACAACATAAAACTGCAATATAAAAAACACAAAATATATAATGAAAACAAGAACAAAAACAAACCAATAACGTCAATTTCCACAATCTGCTGCACATAGTGCTGGCCACAGATGGCCTCTCAAATTGAAGGAAGAGAAATGGGGGGGGGGGGGGCGGCACAGACATTTTCAGTGATTCTTTTATAGGGAGAGGATAAATTATCCCAGTTTCTTCAGGATGGGGGCTCACAATTAGCCATGGCAATATCACAGCTTTTCTCCTCCACCCTCTGCCCCACCCATGCCAAGAGTCTCCTTCTTCTTCTTCTTTTTGCTGCTGCTGCAAGTGCTAACCATGTAGCCACCATTTTCCACCCTCCACAGTGCACTGGACCTAGCAAAGCTCAGGGCATTGTGTGCTTGGGGGTGGTAGCCACCCATCCACTCACCAAAAAACATTAATATAACAAAATAAATCATGGAGAATATTCAGAGAAAATTCTGCAGTACTTTGGCTTTCTTTTTCTAAGGCTCTGAGAAAGAGGAAAGGGTGTGTGTCAGAGATTATACCCCCAAAAAACGCATTCTGAGAAACTTTAGCTCAGAATGACCTAATGCATTTCACACCCACCCCCTGCCCAAATATATCACATCAAAACACAATTCTGCATAGGCAAACCTGGGGCAACTGATCCAGAAAACCAGAGAGCCAATGAGCGAAACCGTTTATGGTTTTATCCATGCGCTCATTTTACCTAGTCCCCCATCTCATCATTGTATTAATCCCCCAGATGTATTTGTAAATCATCCTCATTTCATCTCCTCTCGCCCTTCTCTTTCCTCTGCTAAAGGGAGCAAAGCAGTCCTTTTCAGTTTATCTCACAGTAAAGCTGGGGGTTTTCCTTTGTGTTTTGGCAAAGTTATAAAACAACAAAGAGTTTGGTAACACAGGGGTGGTAATTTTAGTTCTTCTGGAGCAAATCAGCACAGAGTCTTGTGATGCCTTAAAGATGAACATATTTATTAGGATGTAAGCTTTCATTCACAGTGACAGCCTACTTCATCAGATGCAACCCTCGTTCATAAAAGCTTCTACTTGAATAAATGGGTCAGTCTTCCAGATGCTACAAGACTCTTTGCTGCAACAGATGAATGCAACTGCTCCCCTGGACACCATTACTAAAGTTATAGGCAGCAGGAGACTGACTGAATTTACTTTCAAAATCACTGGGAAAAGCAGCAAATGAATGAACTAATTATGAATGGATGGAAATGGAAATGAATGAAAAATAAACAATAAAAATGAATAATGGATTATTATAACCTTGTACACCTCTAAGCTTATTCAAGAGAGAAGACAAATGCATTGGATGGCTGCCTTGAAAGATCATTTGGAAGCTCTAGCTAGCTCAGAATACAGCAGCCAGCTTATTAACAGAGACTTGTAGAGCCAACCACATCTTGCCAGAGCTTAAAGATCTGCGCTGGCTCCCAGTTTCTTTCCAGGATGCAAAAGAAATACTGAAACCAATTACAATAAACACAATCAATAAAAACTTTTTAAAAAATTAAGCATAGGTCTTGCAGATCCTGCGCAACTAAAAGAGGCCACAAATACTTGAAAACCTTTCCAATTAAGGGCCAAAAGCCTGGATAAAACAGGCAAGTTTTTGCATGGTGCCTAAAATATATATATAAAAAGTGTTGACAGGCAAATCTCTCTGGGAATAGCATTCCACAAGTGGGGAGCCACCACTGAAAAGGCCAGTTCTTGCATTGCCAGCCTCCAGACCTTGTGTGAAGGTGGCACACAGAGAAGGGCCTTAGATGCCAACCAAAGGGTCATATATAGGACCTCACAATTTCTTACAGCAACCTTAGCTCTGTTTGGATGTTCTTCTCACAGTTATGGAGAACACATGAGCAGCAAAACCAGGACTGTGCTGAGCGATTCCCCCACTCCAGCTTGCATCCGTCTGTCTATCCATACAGTGCAAATGCCTGGAGCAATATGGGGAGCCTTTGTGTGTGCAGGATTCCATGAGAAACGCTGGGAAACCCTGGGGTTCCAGAACATGTGGATTTCTGCACCCCAGGGGTGTGGTACCTTTTTAAGCCTGAGGCTTGATGATTACTTTGTCCTTCTCAGATAAGGATTCTTGCTTGACTGCATGGAGGGCAAGGAAGGGTGAATGTGTATGTATGTGTAGAAACAAGCCCACTGTACAAAGGTGATTTTTTTTGCACTTCCTGCTTTTGCCTCTGCCTGTGCCCATCACTGGGCCTTGGGAGGCTGCCCAGAAGAGAACCTGGACCTCAGGCTGAAAAAGGTCATCCACCCCAATCTTAGGTGATGGCAGTGTGAACTATTAAGAGATGCATTGCAGAGCTCCAGAACTTGGACCTGTTTACAGCTAGGTATAAGGTATAAAGGGACAAGTCAAAGGCTTAATGGGAAAACAAAGAAAAGATCTGAAAAGGGAGGAAGGGACGCTACCTTAAAGAATGGGGTCAATGGTGTTAAACTGTACAGGGTGGTTTTGTTGTTGTTGTTTTTAATGATTACACTTGCAGCAATCGTCAGTAGTTAACAAATTAGCCTTTTCTCCCTCTCTCTCGTCTTCCAGGTTCCACAATGAATGCAGCCCGGAGGTCAGCCAAGGTGGACTCGGAGGTGACAGAGTCCCAGATGGAGCCGTCCCTCAATGCCACCGAAATGCCCACCAAAGAGAATGTTTTTTCTGACTTGAAAGACAAGTTCATGAACAAGCTGAGCGACCTGCCAAGTAGGTGGAGCTTGAGCACCTTCTGATGAAACGGGCTTGAGAGGGCATCAAGATATGATACAAACAATGCCTAATCTATTTGAGTCGCATACACTGGCATTTCTTGGCACTAAAATGAGGGTTCGGTTTTAATTTTCGCACAGAGAATGCACAAAGACTGTATGTGTCCTCTAATTCCACACAAGTGGAGCAAAGGAAGCTTGCAGAATGTACTTCTGAAATACCAGTTTGTTTACCCCCTCCTGCCCTCGTGAAGCTCTGCTTGAAAATATATGGGCTTGGATTGGTCAAATCTCTGAAGCTAAAGTGTGGATGTTATATTGGCTAACAGTTTTAATGCAAAGTATACATAGCCTGATTAGTGCCCCATGGCCTAGAGATGGATGCTTTATATCTGTTCCACGTGTGGATATAACATTATAACAGCCCAGCTGCCTATATTATTCTTCGCTAACCTAATCAGCGGAACCTTTTGAGCTGTATAATCGACAAAGAGATTTTTCTTCAGGCAGAGCTCCATGGAATTAGGTAACTCTGGAGAAAGAAGCCAGAGCTTAGGCCTGAAGGGGGAAATGGAAGGTGTCCCCCCAAATGTGACAGTGACACAAAAGCAGGAAGGCTTGCAAGGGCCTGTGAGGATACTGTCATGTGGAGGAAAAGCTTGGAAGGCTCATGGATGGATTTAGGGAAATGGCCTCACTACTAAGCTCGGGCTTATATCTTAAGCATGCTTATTAGGGAGTAAGTTCCATTTCAGCTCAGGGAACATTAGGATTCTTTTATTCAAGGACCAAAAGCAAGTATAGCAGAATATCTTACAGAAGTTGCTCAAGAAGGGAAGGCTGAAAAAGTTCCCCCACCCCTGAAGTAAAAATTAAATCTCAACTCCTTCAGTAATTAGGCAAACCACTATCTCCCCTTCTGCCATGGGGGTGGGGTGGGGGGAATGATAATTTTGGCCTGCTTTGCTGGGCTGTCGTCAAGATTCTTGCATTAACTAACATGCTTTCAGAACTTAGAAGATGCACCGTATATATATTCCGTCCAAAAAGAGAGAAAAGCTGTTGAAGCTCACTCACTTTCACTGCCCCTCTGTTCTGCTCCTCTCCAGTCCCACCCTGGGCTTTGGCCACCATCCTCATAGTGGCCGGCCTCCTGCTTCTCTGCTGCTGCTTCTGCGCCTGTAAGAAATGCTGTGGCAAGAGGAAGAAAGGCAAGAAAGGCAAAGACAAAGTGAAGGCTCAGATCAACATGAAGGAGGTGAAGGAACTGGGCAAGAGCTACATCGACAAGGTGAGTCAAGGCTGGAGGCTGCTTCCCTCTCACGGCACCAGGGAAAGTCGTCGCTTTCCTAAGATATTTCTGAACTTGCACACTTGCACACATGCAGGCATCCATAATCCAAATATAAACTGACTTTTAACTAGGGAACTACACAAAAGCTGCTATCAGTTTAGCACTGCCTATTAGGCACTTGATAGAGGGATGCGGGTGGTGCTGTGGGTTAAACCACAGAGCCTAGGACTTGCTGATCAGAAGGTCGGCGGTTCAAATCCCCGCGACGGGGTGAGCTCCCGTTGCTCAGTCCCTGCTCCTGCCAACCTAGCAGTTCGAAAGCTCGTCAAAGTGCAAGTAGATAAATAGGTACCGCTCTGGCGGGAAGGTAAACGGTGTTTCCGTGAGCTGCTCTGGTTCGCCAGAAGCGGCTTAGTCATGCTGGCCACATGACCCAGAAGCTGTACGCCGGCTCCCTCGGCCAATAAAGCGAGATGAGCGCCGCAACCCCAGAGTCAGCCACGACTGGACCTAATGGTCAGGGGTTCCTTTACCTTTACCTTATTAGGCGCTTGCTTCTGTGCCTCCAAAATACGTTTTATATACCTGATCAACATGCACGTTTTAAGAATTGTAGATTGTGCTGTGTTACATACGCCAACATTTCTGGGCAGATCTACACCATACCTTAAAAGCACATGTAGTTTTTTAAGGGCAGAGAGAAGATTAGCAGTGTGAGGTGGAACTACAGTTCCCAGGGTTCTTTTGGGGGGTGGGAAAAAGCATGGAGTACTTTAGATATATGGTGTGGATTGCTCTCTGTCTTTGATGCTAATACTTCCCTGTTGGCTGCTCTGACCCTTCCCTCCCTCCCTCCCAGGTCCAGCCTGAGATAGAAGATTTGGATCCATCTCTGCTGCAGGAGCCCAAGGAAGAAAAGCCCCAGGAGAAGTTGGGGAAACTCCAGTACTCGCTTGATTATGACTTCCAAAGCACCCAGGTAGGGATGGTCAGTGCTGCCAGCTGGGTTGGATGGGCCAGTGGTCTGATCCAAGGCAAGTAGCTTACCTCTGTCCCTCTTAAACATTTCCCTAGCTGGTGGTGGGCATTCTGCAAGCTGCTGACCTGCCAGCCTTGGACATTGGGGGCACCTCGGACCCTTACGTCAAAGTCTTCCTGCTCCCAGAGAAGAAGAAGAAATACGAGACCAAAGTGCACCGCAAAACCCTCAACCCCACATTCAACGAGTCCTTCACTTTTAAGGCAAGTTGTCCTCTGCATGTTTCCTCTTCCATCTTGGCCAAAGTTCCTGAGCTTTGCTGAGCATCTCTTCCCCATCTATTCCATCACCTTCCCTTTTTACCATTGGCTTCTCCCCATACTTTGCGGATCCTCTTCTCCTTCCTGACCCTATCACACACAGTTTTACCACTGAATCGACCAATAGCACAGAGGCAGGGGGACGCAACATTCCCTTCAGGGCAAACTACCATGGGCCATAGATCAGTGGTGGGTGGGGCCAGAAGCAAAAGTGGGTGGGGCAACAAATGCAAATTTTCCCTTAGGGCAGTAGCCAATGCCTACCCAGACATTCATAACTCCCTTTGAATCCTCCATCCAGGCAAGGAAGAAGCATCATCACAGTTGAAGGACACCTTCCAGCCAGGCCAAAACACTCAGGGGGCAAAGCAGAGCCTGTGAGGGGGTGTGGCCTGAGCAGAGGGGGTGGGGCCTGCTGAGAGTTCTGAGAGCCTGATAGGTCCAGAGAGTTACATTTGACCCTCAGGTGGGAGGTTCTGCACCCTTGCAATGCCATCTGCCATTTAATCAACTCGTTGTGTGTTTGGCCCTTAGGTCCCCTACTCGGAACTGGGTGGCAAGACCCTTGTCATGGCCGTCTATGACTTTGACCGCTTCTCCAAGCACGATGCCATTGGTGAGATACGCATCCCCATGAACACAGTGGACCTGGCCCACGTCATTGAAGAGTGGCGGGACCTGCAGTCAGCGGAGAAAGAAGAGGTAGGGAATGATCAGTGTGGACCCTCCTTCAGAAGTGCCTGACTCTGAAAGAGGGTTTGAACATCACAGTTGGGGCCCTTTGCATGTTATTTTGGTGAATTCTGAACTCACAGCTTATTACCCCAGCTTTTGATACTTGTAGGACCCACCTCATTTCTGGGATTGTGAGTTGTTTAAAACTGTTTTTAACATTGTGTTTTAATTGTTGCAATTCACCTTGGGACCTTAGGGTGAAGGGCAAGTAAGACTCGTAATCTGGTGAACCAGGTTCACTTCCTCACTCCTCCACATGCAGCTGCTGGGTGACCTTGGGCCAGTCACACTTCTTTGAAGTCTCTCAGCCCCACTCACCTCACAGAGTGTTTGTTGTGGGGGAGGAAGAGAAAGGAGAATGTTAGCCGCTTTGAGACTCCTTAGGGTAGTGATAAAGCGGGATATCAAATCCAAACTCTTCTTTTTCTTCTTCTTTTCCATAAACAGCTGACATCAGATAGCTGGGATGATTTTACTTGTGTATTTATTTACATTTATATCCCATTTATTTAACATTAATATCCCACCAAGGAGTTCAAGGCAGCACATATGGCTCTCCTGCACTCTCCATTTTTATTTTTGCTTGCAACAAACCTGTGAGGTAATTTAGCCCAGTGGTGGACTTTGTGCTCTCATTTATCCACACTCTAACTGCTACACCTTGCTGGCATGTGGAGTTTGTATGATTCAACATCTGGGGCTGTGAGGAGGAGACTCACATGAGTCCTGACCACAGAATTGGCATCCTGTGGATGGCAGGGAGGAGGTTGCCAACTGTTTGAAGGGTTTTGCCTGCACTAAATCACCCACCCACCCCTTGAACATGGAGATTGGCTCTTGATGCTTCCATCCTCGCTCTAAACTAGCCCTATTTTCCTCTCTTTAGCACGAGAAGCTGGGAGACATTTGCTTTTCTCTCCGGTATGTCCCTACGGCTGGGAAGCTGACAGTTATTGTGCTAGAAGCGAAAAACCTGAAAAAAATGGATGTGGGGGGCCTTTCAGGTAAGAACTCACCATTGTGGTAAACTGAATCAGGACATAGCATGGGTTTCTTTTAGTTGGAAACCTTTCCTAAAGACTTAGTTCCATGATTCTATGTTTCTATGACTAATGGGGGCATTTGTGAAAAAGACTTAATGGCTGAAGCAGATCTATAACCGGTTGTGCTGTGGTATTATGGTTTGCTACTCTTTTTTAAATATGTATTTTTTCTTTGAAGTGGATTACAAGTATATTTTCATATTTGTGGGCCTAATTGGTGGTTGTGGTTGTTATATACCGAATTAGAGCATTGGCCCTCCCAGCTCAGTATAAGCTTATCGTCGACAGACAATATTTAACTTCCACTGTTGCTGGGGAGTCACAGGTGAGGAGAGTGTTGTTGCTATGGACTCACAGTTGTCCATGGAAACTCAGGTTAATTCTGTGTCCAGGGAGGCTGTCTACCAGCTCCACATGGTGCGACGGCTGAGACCCTACCTGCCTGAACATTGTCTTGCCAGAGTGGTACATGCTCTGATTATCTCCCACTTTGACTACTATAATGCACTCAATGTGGGGTTATCTTTGAAGGTGATTCAGAAACTACAACTAATCCCAAATGCGGCAGCTAGACTGGTGACTGGGAGTGGCCACCAAGACCATATAGCACTGGTCCTGAAGGATCTGCATTGGCTCCCAGTACATTTCCAAGCATGATTCAGAGTGTCGGTGCTGACCTTTAAAGCCCTAAATGACCTCGGCCCAGTATACCTGAAGGAGTGTCGTTCAGCCCGGACACTGAGGTTCAGCTCAGAGGGCCTTCTGGCAGTTCCCTCATTGCGAGAATTGAAGTTACAGGAAACCAGGCCTTCTCAGTATGTCTTACTGTCTGCTGTGGCGTGAACGCCCTCCCGTCAGATGTCAAGGAGATAAACAACTATATGACTACATGACTTTTAGAAAACATCTAAAGGCAGCCCTGCATAGGGAAATTTTTTTGTTGGATGTTTTATTGTGTTTTTCATATTTTGTTGGGAACCACCCAGAGTGGCTGGGGCAACCCAGTCAGATGGGTGGCATATAAATAATAAAAAGCACAATCATCATCATGACCCCATGGGCATCTGGGTGGCCACTTGGTATGGAATCTACGCACATAATAAAAAATACTGTACTGTGAAAATGCTTTTTTTAATGTTTTGAAAAATATATTGAATTTGCCTATAACTCACTGTTGCCATCTAGTGTCACATTTGTATATTGCACTTTACATCACACTTAAAACGTTTTATTTGCAGCTGTATAGCTGAGTCCTCTAAGAACAGAGTGCTGGACTAGATGGACTGTTGCTTTTCTTATTACCAGCAGCCGCCCTCTAGGATTTCAAACAGGGCTCTCTCCCAGCCATACCTGGAGATGCCTGGAATTGAACCATGGACCTTCTGCATGCAAAGCACAGATGTTCTACTACCTCTTAGCTGTGGCCCTTCAATAGACATCAAAATCACAATTCATTAGCGGTGGGGGAGATGGGAACATAGATCACCATTATACATTGCATAATGGAACCCCTGTGTGATTCTGAAATATCTTTCTACTCCTATCCCAGACCCCTATGTTAAAATCCATCTCATGCAAGGAGGGAAACGTATCAAGAAGAAGAAAACAACCATTAAGAAAAACACACTGAATCCCTATTACAACGAGTCGTTCAGTTTTGAGGTGCCATTTGAACAAATCCAGGTAACCCCCCATCCTTCTCCCCACCCCCATTTCACCCAAAGGCAGCCAATTCTGAACTAGAGATGTGTGGACAAATATTTTTTGCAATCTTGCCAGAAAGTTACTTTTTTACACTTATGCACAAGTGCTGAATTTTGCATAGGGGTTTCTGTCTGGTTAGTTTGCATCTAAGTTTGTGTATTTGTTTGGGCCCAAGTCAGGACATGGTGGGCAAACTAGTTTGCTGTTTCCCGTCACTGCTCCACTGCATGCTCAGATAGCTAACTGGCTTGCTATTATTATTGCCTGGGTGCTGAGCTGTTGTGGATCTTTCTTCATTCTGAGAGTTCTGGCTGTAAAAATACTTGCACATCCTCCCACCCCACCCCCCACTCTGGGTGGATTAATGATAACATTTGGAAAGACCCTCGACATATTCAGAACACTTCTTTGCTATTACAAATTATGCCAATCTCACTCTTAAAAGAATAATTGATAATCACGGTGTTCCTCATATGCTCCTGTGAGTAGAAAGAAACCCAGTCCTTAAATCACGATAGAATCTGCTAGTTCTGGGTTATGTACCAGCCTTTTCTAGATACCGCCCCCCAATTCAGTTGCAACCCTTTGAAAAGCTCCAGGCTTTAAGGAGGTGGAAAGACATAGCCTCATTAAAATTAGATGGCCCAACCTCGCCCCAGGTCAAAAATACTTAAATCTTGCCAAGTTTCCTTCTGATAATAAGGACCCAATTGTTTTGGCAAAGCGGTGGGGAGAGGGTGCAGTTTTCAGCAGAGAATGCTTAATCCTTTACCCACCAGCCACTATACACCGACAAACTGTTCACCTCCACTCCCCAAGTGCTTTCCCCTAGCAATTTGGCAAAGATGCATCTGGAAGCCAAGCTGTGTGAGAGAGTAAACAATGGGAAGAGTTGTAGGTGGAAAATGGTGGGGAGGGAGAGGGTTAAGCTCGCCTATTGCTCTTCTGCTGCTGATCGTGCCTGTTTTCCCCCCTTTCACAGAAAGTCCAGGTTGTTCTGACGGTCCTGGATTATGACAAACTGGGCAAAAACGAAGCCATCGGGAAGATCTTTGTGGGCTGCAACGCCACGGGGGCCGAGCTGCGCCATTGGTCCGACATGCTGGCCAATCCTCGGAGACCCATTGCCCAGTGGCACACCCTGCAGCCTGAAGAAGAGGTGGATGTGGCGGTTGGCATAAAGACCTCTTGATGCCCCTTCCTTGTTGGCCGAAGGATCTGGCAACAGTTGCTTCTCCCATCCAAGCGAATGGGAGTGTGTGGTTGAGGCACCCCTGAAAATGTGCACGTGTGTGGGGAGGGGGGGAGCCTGTGAGCCTGTCTCTTCTCTCAGAGCCATTTCCTGTTGAAAAAAAAGAAACATCTCCAAGAGAGCGAAAAAAACCACCCCTCTGTTTTTTATCCACTGTGTGAAAAAAAGAAGGAAGATTACCTAGCAGCTTAAGACAGGTTAGAGATTTACTGTAGGTTTACTATGAGGCTTACAACACAACTTGCACAGGTTTATATTTTTGGGTTGGTTTCTCACTTGAAAGCTGAACCTTATGTGCCAGGCAGGCTGACTTTTTGACAAAGCGATCTTTACATTAACCATGCCATCTTTGGGAAAACCAGCCTCAAATAAACCTACTGTTTATCTTTTTTTACCTCTGAGTATACTATAGGTTCATTACAGGTTTCTTTAAAGGACACCATTTCATATACATTTTGGGTATTGTACTTTGGTGCCATGTTTAAAATCTAGACCTCATACGTAAATCTATTGCAAACAATGCCTACAAATGTGTTTACAATAGATTTACAAAAGAGTTGCGGCAAACTCTGTTCTCTATATTAACTTTTGGACTCTCCATTATAATACTGATTTAGGAAGCTAGATCTTAGGTGAAAACATACCGAAAATCTTTTAAAACATAATTTGAAGCATAGTTTGAAAATGCAACTTGACCGTGGCTCTACATGATGATTAAAATAGCTTTACATTTCTGGCCACTGTGTTATGAAATATTTAAAATTTGGTCCTCCTTTGCAGTTGAAACTGCCTAAAACAGCTTAATTGGGATAAGATTGCAAATATGCTGTGTGTGGGCTTCATGTATAAAACATATTGTAGTATATCCTAATTATTTTATTACAAAATGTTCACATGCTTATCTGACATATAAAAATTAGCCGTCATTGGAGAACTACTGTGGATGTGTTTACTAGCATATATTTACTATAGGGTGTCCCCTTCCCAAATTACAACAGTTTTATGGATGTTGATGTTAACAGATATTTAAGCATCAGCCAACGTATTAAGCTGTTCATATATAGCTTATTCTACTTTATATTGACTTAATTTGGAGTTTTATAACAGTTTTGACAGAACCATGTATCCGTTTTACAGCACATGCTTTACAACTTATTTATGAAATGTTTGATATGAGTATTAGAGAAAATTTGCTATAGGCTTTATGTAGACTTAAAGCAGATTAACTACAGATTTACTAGTGATTTACTAACCAACTTAAAATAATTTTGCTATGTTACAACATGTTTACATTTTTGCTACAAGCTTAAGACTGGTTTATTATAAAACTGCAACGGGTTTACTGTTTGTTAGCGACCAGTTTGATGCATTTTATAAATGAGAAAAAAAGCATTTATCTATAGGATTTACAGCTGGTTTACAGTGGTTTCCCATGGATCGAAACATGTTTACAACACCTTTGCTATGACAATGATACAAAATCAATTGGTTTTATAGCAAATATTCTGTAATTCTACAAACTATTGTTTAAGACCTAATCATATGCTGGGTAACTGTTTAGCAGGTACATTAATAGCTGGATTTTTACTTTTATTTTAAAAATGGGATTGCCAGCAAGCCAATGGCTTGAAATTCTGAATTGAAATACTTTTGTCCAAATCTGAAATCTGAATTCTGGGCATGACTCTGTGCTTTGGTCTTCTTTTTAATGCTTTCATGTTGCATGGAGTCAGAATAGGAAAGGAAGGCAATACTGAAATACTTAGGCCAAAACATCTGTCAAAGGCCAAGTAAGTCCACAATAAAAAAAGAAAGAAGCCTAAGAATTAAAAAAGAAAGAAAGAAAAACAGCCGACTAGAACTTTTGATCTTGATATTTGGACACTCTATTTCCCTCGCACCCCACCCCAAATATTTGACAAAGCATCATTTCTGGTCTCAGTTACAATCCTTTTACCAAAGGTTTTGTGCCTACAAGTAAACATCAGTGTTGAACTGCCCACTGAACTCACAAGCAAATGAGCTTAGATAGCAAAAAGAGTTCTAAATCTGTTTCCAATGACAATTTGTAGATGAGGTCCAGTTTTCAAAGGAACACATTTTTAGGCTAAGTTACCAAGCATTTTATTAGACTCATCTATAAGCATACTTTTGCTGATGATGTCAGCAGAAAGACAAAGGCTGTAGCATTCTTGATTTCTCAGCACATTTGTCTGACTATATACTATAAAACTATAGAATTATAGTTCTGTAGTTCCTCTATGCTTTTAAAAAATATATAATTGGGGCAAAATGGCTGACTTTAACTTCTTGATCTTGGCAACAGAAGAACTAACTCTAATTAGTCAAAGTAAATGTACCTCAAATGGGGAAGCAAATCAGTATTATGGTTCTGAACTCTCTGCAACCAGGAGAAAGCAACCAGGAGAAAGGGAAATGGGAGGGGAAAGGATTTTAGTCACTTATTTCTTGTTTGGGGAAGAGATGTTCTGAAAGATCTCTGAGGTAGAGAGATATCCTGCTGGTGTTGTCCTCACATCTTGGCTGTGAAGGTCCAATTAATATAGGAACTGCTTTATGCCAAGTCAGATCATTCATTGGACCATCTAGTTCAGTATTGTCTACATCAGAGCTAACCAATGTGGTGCCTTCCAGATGTTTTGGACTACAACTCCCATCAGCCCCAGCCAGCATGGCAATGGTCAGGCATGTTGAGGGTTGTGCACAAAATCTAGAGGGCTACCACGTTGGCGACCTCCAATCTACACTGATTGACAGTGGCTCTCTGGGATTCCAGACCACGGTCTCTTCCAGATCTATGTGGAGATGCCAGGAACTGTACCTGGGATCTTCTGCATGCAAGCTGATGCCTCACCAAAGACCTAAAGCCCTTCCCCAGTCATCCACCGTTGTCTCCCTTATATTGTAGATTGGTACAAATTTCATGTTCAGTCAGGGGGAGGAAGAAGAGCATCATCATCTATACTGTAACAATACTGGGCCACCTTAGAAAGCCACTGTCCTGTTGAGCAGTGACAAACGTCTACAGGCCATAGTCCACAAAATTACTTATTTCCTGAGTAACAGGGTATTCTAGAGAAGCATACAAGCCATTTGGACCTTTGCCAGAGTGACTGGAAAAGGGCACAGGAGGCCAGCTTACTAACTCTTTGCCCGCCATCTAAAAAATGTCCACACAATTCTTTGGGAATTTAGGAGCTCCCCAGTTACTTTCTCTTTGTAACTCTCCAAGCCACTGTTCGCATTACTTTTCATCTGATTGTACAACATCGGGAGTTGTGCATCTGCACTCCAAAAGAAACAAACTTGATTAGCTCTACTGTTAATGCAAATCATGTAGGGCTCACCACCACCCAGAGCTGCGTGTGAAATTTGAATCTGACTTCCCTCTAAGATTAGAGAAAATATTCCAGACAGTTCCAGACTGTCACCGTTTTGGGGTAGAATTTGGTCACATGCTGGTAAATTCAGGTTTCACAATTATAGTTGATTGGGATGTCTTGTGCAACAAAACCGATTCCCCAAAAGATTGGATTTATTGCAGTAAGGAAAGTGACATGAAAATGCACTGGGAACTATAGGACAACACTTGATGCAACATTGTCTAACCCCTTCGCAAACAATCAGAATGAATGTTTATTAAATAGCCAGCATTGTGTAATCTCCCTGCAAACAGATCAAGATGAATATATTGAAAAGTCGGCCAGAAGAACCCTTTTACAACCAAATACAGTGGTACCTCTAGTTACAAACCTAATTCATTCCGGAGGTCCATTCTTAACCTGAAACTGTTCTTAACTAGAGGTGTGCTTTAGCTAATGGGGCCTCTTGCTGCCGCTGTGCCGCCAGCACACAATTTCCGTTCTCATCCTGGGGCAAGGCTCTCAACTCAAGGTACCGGTAACTCTTCCAGGTTACCGGAGTTTGTAACCTGAAGCGTTTGTAACCTGAGGCATTTGTAACTCAAGCAAAGCTCTCAACTCGAGGTAACTCTTCCAGGTTACCAGAGTTTGTAACCTGAAGCGTTTGTAACCTGAGGCATTTGTAACTCAAAGTACCACTGTACACTGAAGTCTTTAAAAAGAAGGCTCTTGTAAAGTATTAGCACTTCAGGCCCTGCTTTTAAACACATCACATTCATTTCATACAAGACAGGAAATACCTATTAACACTTATTTGTGCAACCCAGGGTAATCTCAGAACTGCTGCTCCAGTGCCAGATTTGTAAGCAGTGAGATTTTATTTTTCTTTAACTAGTACCTTCCTGCAGACGTGCAAAAACCAATCTCCTTCCATGCTTTGGAGAGAGAGTTAAAACATGAAACCAAAAAAAGAAAGAAAGAAAAGAAAGAAAACCAACCAACCAACCAACCAATAAAAAGACTTGGCCAAGGTCAGTTGCCCAGCCAAGGGGCATGGTGGCCATTTTGTTGTGTAGCCAGTGTGTTTTTGTAGTTGCAGTGTTCATGGAATTGCACCGCCATCTCCATCTCACTTGGGTTTAGAATATTTACTGCTCTGTTGATCTCCTCAGGTTCACCCCTGCTCCTACATCTCTTTTATTTTCAGTTGTTCGTCAACAACAAGAGATGGCAGTTGCAGAGCCAAGGAGATATATACTGTTTAATATGTCATGCTAGAAGGTGTTCATTTCAGGCTGCTGAACTACCATCTCATTTTCCATTATTTTCCTCATGGTCCATGATAACTGATGAGTGGACAAAGCAATGGCCTATTAGGAAGGCCAGTGTCGATCTGTTAGTGAGTTCTGTGCTGTGTGTGTCTCACCCACTGTATTCCACTAACAACATAACCTTTTCCTAAGTCCCTGCTAACATCCATCTTCAACAATCTGGCATCAGCGAGCATGTCTGTGCCCAGGTCAACATGCCCATCTATGAAAACAGGCCACCTCCAAGTTTTGAGGGGTTGTGTAATTTGTAACGATTGAAGGGATTGTGTAAAGTGCAGAAGGCTTTGTAACTTTGGTGTGTGGTGTTTCTAATATCCCCTTCAGTCCTCCAAACCACCCATTTAAGTGGTGCCGTCCTCTGAAAGTCACCTCCACTCCCCCTTTTGAAGCCTGTTTTAATATTGATGTATTTGACCAAACAGTACTCTTTGTCTGTTAATAAAGAAGAGATCTCTATATTTCAAATGTGTTGCTTCTCATTGTCTTTGCTTTGGGCTGCAGTGAGGTAGGGGTGCTCGACTGAGAAACATACAAAAAATCCCGCTGTGTAATGACTTGTGAAGAATTGCTTCTGGTTGGCACCAGCGCCCTTACTGCCGGCGTTCTCAAGGCTGTATAAGAGGCCATTTCATTCCATTAAAGCCAAGAGGTCATTATTATTCCTTATTAAACTCAGGTGAGACTCATAGACTGGTAGTTGAGGGGAAAGTGGCCACTTCTCATTTCAATTTGATCTACTGAAATTTATGCGTGCTTTAGGTGGTTCTTTGCCTGAACCACTAAACGCACAGGTAAATAAGTGAATTAAAAACTATCAAAGAAGCCTGGGCCACCTCCAGCTTTTGAGACCCTTAGCTATAACACAAATTGAAATGACGTCACCCAAAAATAAAATAAGACACCCAAAATAGAGCGAGTCACATGCAAGCACAGACATGCGCGCGCACACACACACACACACACACACACACACACACACAAATACTTTTCTAGCTGAGGGTGTGTGTCACATTTTGGTCTGATGTGCATAAAAACAAGTTGTGAAACTTATCCAATGCCAGAAAATGCACAAGTGTTTAGTCCCTTTTGAGCCTGAGACCCTAGGCTTAATGGTCCTGCAGACCACCACCACTCCTGGCTGGCTCCTGATGTAGGTTAGAAGAGGAATAGCCAGTGCTTTTTTTCTTTTCTAAAAAAAAAAATTAGGGGTACTCTCATTTTCCTACTCATATTGAAATACTGCCCCTCAATGAGGCCAAACTTAGATTCACAAAATGTTTAGGGGTATGTGTACCCCTGTGCCCCCCCAGAAAAAAAGCACTGCGAATAGTTCATTCAGACCCTCCAAGTGTCCTTATTTTCCATGGGCAGCCCTGGATTTACAGAAGCTTTCTGATTTGATCCTGGAATGTTGCGCTTTTTCTTAGGACATCCTTATTTTCATCAGAGAAATGTTGGAGGGTATGCTAATTTCATTGGTTTCATTAGTTATTCCTGTGTTGCACTGGACTAAATGCATCCCTGCTTTTTGCTGGGCCTGAGACTTGGATCTTTTGCTAGAAGGAACACAGCAACAACAGACTTTGTTTCCAAAGTGGCTGCAAGAACACTTAATCTGTCAAGTTATTTATTGTGCACAGAGACTTCCCAATTTAACAGTAATCCCAGCCTGAGGTAAAAGTACATGCAAAGCAAGTTAGAGCCACCTGCCAGAACAGCCTGCGTAAGAACCCAAGGGACAGACCTGCCGACCCCGTACCGCCCAGGCTGCTGCATTAAATATCTTTTGGCCTCAGCAAATCCCTCCCAATCCCAGAGTAAAAAGGGGCTTTATGATACAAGGATAAAAAAGCTCTTTCATTCCTGGAGATTTAATTTGTTTGAGACAATTAGAGGGAGGAACAAAACAGAATTGGAAAGGAGGGGAAATGGGATGCATGAGGATCAAATGATGGGCAAGTGATGGGAGAGTGGGGGCAGATGGATAAAATGGGTAAAATGCCAAATGTACAAAGATAATGTTTAGACCAACCCATTACTGTGGAGTGGCTCTCTCTGGATACTGTTGGACTCCCACCAAGCCTTTTTTTTTTTTTTTTTTTTTTGGCCAAAGTTGTTGAGATTTTTGGACAAAATTGTTTTTGAGCTATTTTTTTGGAGAAACGGCAAAAACAACATGGGCTGCCATACGGCAGGATTTTCCTGGACATTTGCTCAATTCCTGCCCGGATGCTTCCAACAAGTGAAGCTCTTCCTAGCTTGAAGATACTGTGATGAAAGAAGCTCCAACTTCTGGATATTTGCCAGTCCTGGATATGTTACCCAATAAATGTTTATGAGGCTTCTAGTGGAATGTGATAATAGAGAATAGTGGACAAAATGGAGAACAGCCACTGGTGCGGGCAATGGCAGTGGAAGACAAAGAGCTGGAGAATAGGGATTGGGAGGTTCATGGGGAAAGGCAGTGGATTGCTGTACTTCTGAGGCTTATAAAATTTGAAAAAAGTATTTATTGCCACTAATACAGATTGTCGCCATCAGGACAGTGAAATAGTTTAATTATCAGCAATGGTTCAATATCCATATATTGTTGTTTATATCCTACATATGTTCCATTTCAGGATCAATGTGTGCTGTATTTGTTTCCAACGGCATTGTTACGGCATAGCGTCTTCTAAAATAAATATTTTACACCTCTGTTTTGGCACTGAGGGTCGCTTTTGCAGCCTAGCACGCTCCTGTGCCAATGTGCCATCAGCAGCTTGATTTGCAAGACATTTGCTTTTGCTATATGCAACCCATTCCCGGGAGTTTTATACTTAAGACTTAAGCCAGGAACCATAATGACTCAGGAACTTCAAGTGGGTAATAACGTTAAAGGCGCAGAAGCAGACCAGGGCAGGTTTTCCCACTTAAACCCAGGAAAATGCAGGCTTGGCATTTTGCCCGCGTCGCTGCAGGCCCCGTTGCCACGGAGACAGCGTCACTGGCCGCCCCGGGGTCTCCTCCGCCACCTCCCCTCCCTCGCGCACTCATTGGCTGCCAGCCGGGCCGCAGCACGACCGATTGAACGGGGGCCTTGTCTGTCACGGCAACGCGAGGAGGAGTGGAGGCGGGACCTCTCGAGGGCAGGTAAAGCGGGGTAGTTTCCCCGGGGCTGCGAAGGAAAGAGGGAGGCATTTCTAGAGCGGGGTGGCTGGGAGGAAGGCTGAGACCAAGCGGGGCGGCGGCGGCTCCGTTTTAGGGAAGGGAAGTTTAAAAATGTGCGGGAAGAGGGTTGAATTCATCCTTATGGAGCCGAAGGGAATCGGGCTACGCTGGGTGTGTTTGTGTTGCGTTTGCGGGAAGTGAAGTTGCGAGGGCCAAGCGAGGTTTAGCTACAAGCCCAGCGGTGGCGGAGGAGGATTTGCGTGTGAAGTGGTGTTGTTGTTTAGTCGTGTCCGACTCTTCGTGACCCCCTGGACCAGAGCACGCCAGGCCCTCCTGTCTTCCACTGCCTCCCGCAGTTTGGTCAAACTCATGCTGGTAGGTTCAAGAACACTGTCCAACCATCTCGTCCTCTGTCGTCCCCTTCTCCCTGTGCCCTCCATCTTTCCCAACATCAGGGTCCTTTCCAGGGAGTCTTTTCTTCTCATGAGGTGGCCAAAGTACTGGAGCCTCAGCTTCACAATCTGTCCTTCCAGTGAGCACTCAGGGCTAATTTCCTTAAGAATGGATAGGTTTGATCTTATTGCAGTCCATGGGACTCTCAAGAGTCTCCTCCAGCACCACAGTTCAAAAGCATCAATTCTTCAGCAATCAGTCCAGCTCTCACTTCCATACATCACTACTGGGAAAACCATAGCTTTAACTATACGGACCTTTGTTGGCAAGGTGATGTCTCTGCTTTTTAATATGCGTGTGAAGTAAGTTGGAGATTAAGCTCGTGATGACTATTGCTGCCAAAGAGTTAATGGATGCATCCCTATATGGAAAAGGCTAAGGGGAAACCTGTGCGCCCCAAAATTGAAATGATGTTGGATTCCCATCGCCTCTGACCTTTGGTCTCGCTGGCTGAGGCTGATGGGAGTTGGGGATCCAACAAACAGCAGGAGATCTGCAGGTGTCCCCCCCCCCAGCTGTGAACATTGGAATGGCATCCTCCTGCACACTCCAGACTCCTTTATTGTTCCTGTAATTCCCCCCCTCCCCCAACTCTGGTGTGGCTTATAGGGATGGAGGAGACTGTATTCTATTCGCATCACAATCCCTATACATGTCTACTAAGGAGTAAGCTCTGTTTAATGCAAGGGGGATTACTCCCACGGAAGTGGTTATAGGATTGAAGACAGCCAAAGGTGCCCGTCTAGCCCAGTATGGTTAATCCTAGGTGGGCACCAGGTAGGCCACCAAAGGTTTAAGGCAGAAATATGCGAGCCCCCCTGCTGCCAGACTCTGGTTTTTAACTGAAGAGGCTAAAGTTTGAACATGGGGCCTTCTGTGTGCTCCTACCACTGAGCAGCGTGGGAGCAGAGATGGCATAGATTTATTTAGCCTGGGGAAGTTGCACAAGGCCAGTGCAACAACAGAATTAGAGCCACACCGCTCCCAGCAACTTTTCTTCCTGTAAAAATAAAATTTGAGGGATCCAGTTACAGATCTCATATCTGTTCTGTCCTCCCACACCTACAAAATAGATTTGCTGGAGAATGGACGGAGCTACCTTCCCGGCACCTTTCAGGTGTGGAATTGTACTCTGGAGAAATATCTATCAATCTATGTGTGGTTTTTTAATTGCAATAGCTCATTTCCTGTGGGTTGTTTTTTTTTTAAATTACATATCCCAAATAAAGATTCTGCCAAGAGAGAGCTGAATTCTGAAAGATAGTCTTGAACAGGTTAAACCATGCAAAAGTTATTCAGTTATTTATTCAGCTGAATAAATAATTTAGTTGTGTTTATTAGGTTGTTATAGGCAAACCTTGTTTGTACCTAATAAAGCCAACAGCAGGCTGGCTTATTTGAGCTGTTGACATTCATGCTGAGTTAAGTGAACTTGCTTCAAGTCCAAATTAGTGCAGTCATATAGTGGGAGCAGGAATGGGGCTTGTGGAATATATGCATGAACACTCAGTAGGAGCTTTGCAAATGAGGGTTGACCTATGAATATGCCCCTTCATTGGCCATTTGGGGCCTTTCAGGACTTTTTAAAGGCAATACAGCACAATCATGTGTGCCCAGTGGGCTTCTTCTCCACATTCATCTTTGAACAGTTATGGTCTCACTGCAGTAGTACCTGCTTCTTAGTTTAAAGAACCTTTTGTGATGCAGAACAGAAAGTTGTGGTGTTTAAATAAAAATTAAGAGTCTTACCAGACATGTGCAAAGTCTGTAATCCTTGGCGATTGTAATCCATCCTTGCCTTAGCTTAGCCCTTGAAGCTTGCATTATTTGAAACACAAAAGGTGAGAGTGTGGGAATCGATTTGTTTTTTGTTTAACTTCTATTTATACATAAATTTCTGAAGTACTAAATCAAGAAAAATCTTCTCAACCTGTTGTACATAAAATCAAAGGTTAACACACAAAAAGGCAGAGATCAGAAGGACATAAAACGTACCAGATGCCATGCTGGAAGCCAGAGTTCAGTTTGGACCATGATTGTGCCTATTCAGTTAGCTAAGCTCCTTCCTTATTTGCTGGATTGAACCAAATAAAGAGTTTGTTACAAAGTGAAAGGATAATCCCTTCTTTAGCAGAAGTCATGATGGGGATTGGACCTGGCATATGGAGTTTGATGCCTTCTTCCAGATCATGGAGTATCCTGAGCCCTACTTGAGTGGCATAATGCTCCGCAGCATCACAGGCCGGTCCCTCCTGCTAATCTTGATGCTTCCTGGCGCAGTTCCTTCTCCATTTGATGCAGATTCCTTCCTACCTTTTCCCTGCTCCTCACCAAGTAGCCTTAAGGGATGGGTCTGTACCCCCTGCTCTTGTATGTCTTGTTGTGCCAGTAATGCATCATCTGGAGTGAATTGCTTAGATTTGGGAGCACATGGCTCAATCCTGTGAAATGTAGGGGGGGGCAAGCAGGTGAGGAATAGAGGGGAGCCTTTTGAAAGTAGGCTTAGTGCTCATTTTCGAACATTTTTCATTGCCCCAAGGTGTTAAGAGACAGAAATAAAATTCCAAAGGTCATCCCTTGAGCAGGTCAGGCTATTTTGCAGGGACAGAAGAATGTATGAGATGCCTGTTTTAATGTTTGATGACATTAGCATTATGCCCTGTAGGTAACAATATAGTGCCTTGATTGTTCAAAGTGCTTCACATACTTCTTGTAATCCATAACGTAATCTTAAAGTAGGCCAGTATTATTAATGGAGGCGTTGGGACTGGCCTAATGCCATTTTGTTGATGCCGTGGCAAAGGCAAGATTTCATCCAAGGGACTTCCTGGTCCATTAGCCTCTTAGCCTGCCACACTTTGGCATCTTTGTCACTCCAAATTAAACTGCAGCAGTGATATGTGAAGAGAACGGGTGTGGAGGACAAAGTATGTATGAGGATTTGAGAAAGAAAGTGAGATAGCAGCAGAGAGAGTAAGCGAGGCCTGGTGGGATCCCCCTGAATCCTGATGGTCTTAAATAGTGTGTGTATGTGTGTCTTACTATGTCTTCCTTGTGCTTTCTATGCAGCCATGACAGCAGCAGGAAGCGGCAATGGTTTTGGCACCACAGCTTGGTGGGGCTTTTCTCCAGCACTTGACCTACAGGCCACATGTAGGTACCACTTCTTCCACAAATATAACCCCTGCAACTTTGCTTGCCTGCTTTTTTGTTTTTTAAGCAACATTTTTATTTTTAGTTTGCCTGCTTTATTGTGAATCTTCTCGTTTAACAGGTTGCTTGAGGAGTTTGAAACTGCTTCAGCTGATCAAATGCACCCTGTTTTGTTGTAGGCTCAATATTGAGACACAGGTGCCTTCTGAGAGTAGAAGCATCTCTCAGTCCAGTGATACCTTCCCGGCTGCTTGGGGGCTTTCAACAGCACCTCTGTGCAGCTACTCAAAAGGCATATTATTTCCTTGCTGGGAAGATTTGGTTTAAACAGAAAACTTTCAGCCAGTGCTGAAATATATCCAAGGTATTCCTTCTGTGATTCTGTTGTGATTTGGTGCACGATCTGAGCTCCTGAGAATGGTAGCTTCTATCTGAACCTTTTTAAAAGCTGAGTTTGTCAATTTCTGGATGTAAAGCTACATTTGAAAACGTTCAGGCAGACAAAAATACTCTAGCTGGACTTTCTGTGACTTTTCTAGGGTCTCTCCTCATAGCTTGCAGCTTTGTTCTTCTGCTTCGGGTGCCTTCAGACATGCATAATTCCAGTGATGAGCCTGCTCTGAGAAGTGCAATTGCCACATTTCAGACACATGTATCATCTTGTTCACTGGATCAAGTTCAGGGAAGTGCCATTTTTCTTTTTTGCAGCTGAAGCTGAGTTTGCACAGCTCTGGTTAGTTGGCCCTTGCACCAGTCATGAACCCACAGAGCTTTGTTTCTTATCAGCAGAGGTTTAGTCTAGGAAGTCCTTTAAAAATGGAAAAACAAACAGCGTCCCTGAAGCATTCAGAACCATGTCACTTATCAAAGGGGCAATGAAGGCTGGGGGTGGGGGGGAGCAGAGCTTGCCTAACAACCAAAAAGCCCATCATTATATTCATACCCTGATTTCCCGACAGGATTGGTTCCCACAGTCACTTTCAATTAAATTTTGCGCATATGAACAATATACTAGGATATGGTCCGACGTCTGAAAGCCCTTCGTAGAATTGGGTAGAAATAAACGTATATATAAACTGACTCTGCATTAGCTGATTGTAAAGATGTCAACCCACAGAAATAGCTCTCCTATTGAACTGCGGAGCTTTCTAGCTGTTTTCCTTCCCATCAGCCATCTCTATGTTCCTTGCGGCAAATTCCAAAGTTTGTAAAAACAAGACTTCAGTGCCGGGTTCTAGTGAACACTAATAAATTCTGTACTTTTATTTTGCACTTTTTGAACAAAATATTTCTCGTAGGAAAATAGGATTTACCATGGCTGTGCAACATGTAGAGCCATTTCACTTTCCCGACAGGTCTGGAGGCCTCTATGGAACATCTGCAGCTGTCCCAGGATGGTATTCCCGAACTGAACATCCTGCTGGTAGGATCAGTAGACGGCCGTCATATCCTCAAGACAATGAGTCAGGCGCACCGGTGGCCACGGCGGAAAATCAATGTGTGTAACTTGCCTCCTGCCATAGATTTCCACGTTGTCTTGAGCTGCTGTTAACTGGACAGCCCTTCCCTGTGCTTAGCCAAGCTTTGCGTGTCTCTTGCCTAGATAGATCTTACTTAAAACCTTAAAATTAAATTCTCATTATCTATGCTTGTTTAATAACAGGACAGCAGAACGGGGCAGATTCCAAAGCTGTGAGTCGGGTGGGAAAACAGGCTTGTCTGCATTTCCTGCTTGAGCAGCATCGCTACAAATGCAGAATCCGATGTCTGTATCTATTTGCTACATTTATATACAGTGGTACCTTGGTTTAAGAACAGCTTAGTTTATGAACAACTTGGATTAAGAACGCCTCAAACCTGGAAGTAGGTGTTTTGGTTTGTGAACTTTGCCCTGGAAGCAGAACATGTTTCACTTCCTGTTGAGTGTCTTCCATTTGTAAATTGAGTCCCCCGCTGCTATGGGAAAGCATGCCTTGGTTTAAGAATGCTTCGGTTTAAGAACAGACTTCCGGAACGGATTAAGTTCGTAAACCAAGGTACCACTGTACCACCTATCTGCCAAATTTCTCAAGGTGATTTAGATTTTTATAATAATATAACTTCCAAACTAAGAGATGCAATACAAAAGGATACAGCAGCAACCTTGCTGAAGCTATGCAGGCCTAGGTTCTGGTTAGTGTCTGTGCAGGGAGACTAACAGGGAAGCCTGTGCGTATTGTGCCTTGGTTTCTGTGATGGAGGAAAGGCAACTTATCAAGGGTAATTAATAAATGTACCTTTTTTGGGGGGGGTAAATGGATTTCAAAACTGGCAGGACCACCAGGGTTGGATTCAGCTTGGGGGAGGGGGCACCTCTCATCCATTGCTGCTGGCTCCGCCCACAGAATATTGCACTGCCAAACAGAGTGCTTCTAGGACTGAGTGCTGAGACACTGAGGTCCAGCTCCGAGGGCCTTCTGGCTCTTCCCTCCTTGTGAGAAGTCAGGTTACAGGGAACCAGGCAGAGGGCCTTCCCATCAGATGTCAAGGAAATAAACAACTACCTGACTTTTAGAAGACATCTGAAGGCAGCCCTGTTTAAGGAGGTTTTTCATGTTTGATGTTTTATTGTGCTTTTAATATTCTGTTGGGAGCCGCCCAGAGTGGGCGGGCTATTTGTTGCTGTTGTTGTTGTTACATGCTTGATGTTGACCCTGGAAGGGCAGAGTCATCTCTCTTGGGAAGGACCTTGTCTCTCTTCCAGCAACTGCCTCCCTAAAGAGCCCAATCTCAGACACTGCAATGAAGCAAAGGGCCTGGGAAGAAGTTCCCATCCTTTTTGCTTTCTTCGCTTTGCGGAAGGAGAGGTTTCTCTGTTGAGCAGGGTCGGAGGAGCTGGCACTCTTGGGTTCCCTTTCCAACGGTGACTCAGGCTGCCCATGTGATGAAGTGGTGCTGGCGCTCTGCCCCCTTTCCCAGAAACGTGTGGCGACTTTAATTCATTCCTGTCAATGTGAGGAGCCTGGCAGGGACGCGTTGGCAGCTGCCCATCAACGAGAGCCCCTCAGCTCAGCATGGTCAGCTCAGATGTCCCATGAAGGCCATGGACTGACACGTGTGAGGGAGGTGTGAAGTTCAGGAAGAGCGTGGGGGGGGGGGAGGAGATGACAATTCATAGAAGCAGCATCAATTCAGCCCCTTCCCCTGTAGCAACTCCTACCAGACAGCATTCACCAGCACGTTCCCCTTGCAACCTTCCTTCATCACGAGGAGATGAATCAGTGGCAATGTGTCTCACAGCCAGCATTTTGGAGTGTCACTTCATAACAAGAGGACTTTTTTGTCATCAAGGAGAGAGGAAGGAATGGGAGTAGGGCTGGGAAAGAAAGTGGAGGGGGGGGAATCAAATTTTCAGTTTGGGGCTCAGAATTTCTAGGAGCTTTTCTGGCACTTTTGGGTTCCTTGGGATAGCCAGGAGGTGCAGGCTAGGGAGATGGAAGAACTCCTAGAATCTTTGCAAGTTGAGCCAGTTCATTTCAAGCTAGGATGTGGGAAATTCAGGAAGTTGAGCCTGCTGGGATAGAGAAAATCTACTGAGAAAATAACGTACTGTACAGTGGTACCTCGGGTTACATACACTTCAGGTTACATATGCTTCAGGTGACAGACTCCGCTAACCCAGAAATATTACCTCGGGTTAAGAACTTTGCTTCAGGATAAGAACAGAAATCGTGCTCCGGCGGTGCAGCGGCAGCAGGAGGCCCCATTAGCTAAAGTGGTGCTTCAGGTTAAGTACGGACCTCCGGAACGAATTAAGTACTTAACCCGAGGTACCACTGTATTGAGTTAGAGCTGGAGAGTCGGAACCAGGACACCTGACTATCCGTGTTAGACGATTCCAGTATGCTTCCAGGGACAGTGCTGCCGTTTTCTTGGGATGAGAGCATGCTGGAGATCTATAATACCTTTGTGTAATTTCCTTTATTTACAGATATGCGGGCAGAACGATCAGTGACCCGCAGGGGAGCAGATCTGTTTCCCTGCATCACATCCTCTAAGAATGAAGTTGCACTCCAAAGTTTCTTCAGTTAGCTCCCAGCTATCTCTTGCTGCTCTGTTTGCTGCCATTTTCTATTTCTCACACATACCTGCCCTTACCCTCCAACCCTGATAGGTATCTCATGACAAACCACAGAGAGATTCCCCACCTATCAAGAGACCACCTTCTGATTGTTGGCCCCCATTGATTTAAATCTTAACCAGCCATTCTAGACTAATCATCAATCTGCCAAACAGAAGACTGGAGGACTGGCAGGAGTCACATTGCATGTATACTGTATATACACTAATGCCTAGGAAGGACAGGACAATAAACTTCTTGTTTCTTGAGGGTGTTTTGGTTAGCTAGCCAGACAGAGCGTTATTTTGAACTTGAAAGCGCCCTCGTTTTCATTGTGACATTTTGGGCGGCTCTAGTTGGCTCCAATAAATTGCCCTGCTGTTACTGTTGGGTTTGATGTGGATAGGCTTTCCTGACTCAGTAAGTTTTCACTCACATTTGGAATATTAGACAAAGCCTTAAGGGTTGAAAGAAAATGGAGGAAACGGTAGAACTTGAATGATGAAAAGCATATTCAAGACAGGGCACCTCCTTGTCTTCTGTGCAGCTCTGATAGTTAGGATTTCTTGCAGGAAGTGTCCTAGACTGTCCCACCCCTGCCAAAATCGGGTAGCAGGGCACATGCATTGCAGGCAGAAGGTGGCAGGGACAGAAAAGATGTAGTTTGACTTGAGACGCTGGAGATTGGCTGCTAGGCAGAGAATACTAGGCTAGATGGTCCAATAGTCCGACTCATAATTTATGACAGCATCTTAAGATTCATTTTCTTAAACATCTATGGAACTTCAGATTGTTAAGGGTGATGTGAATTGTAGCTCCATGAGGGGCCAACTGCAGTTCCCAGGATTCTTTGGTGGGATGTTATGTGTTTTAGATGTCTAGTATGGCTGTGATCTTGAGGAGAGCTGTTTAAACTAAAGCTTGCCCTCCTAATTGTTTGTCTCCTTTGCTCAGTTCTACGTGCTGGAGAACAATCTGGAAGCCCTGGGTCGGCAGCTGCTGTTTCTGAGTCTGGCTGTGGAGCCTCTAGAGAAGATGGGGCTGCAAGGTGAAGGCAGATGAAATGCTCCCTCGCCATCTCCATTCCTTCCCTGGGTTCCCAGGGCTTCTGGCCCCTTGTTTACTGGGGTCTCCGGGAGGCTGAAGCCCTTCTGAATGGTAACAAGCCCTGTCTTCTTTTTCCCTCCCACCAACCAAGAGAAAAGTGAGACCTTCTTGGAGCTGATGGGGAACACACTGCTCCGAGGCCAAACAGCTGCTTATCTGCAGGAGAAGGCAAACCTCTTCATCCGCTATGTCACAGACCCTGATTTCCAGCAAGCTCATCTGCCCCTCCTTGACTTGTCTGCCCTCAAGGTAAAATGCAAGTTAATTCAGCAGGAGCGATGGAGCCATGATTGATGTGCTGTCATTGCCATGATGGGCTCGGCAGGACTCCAGTTATGGTTAGCTGCTATTCCAGAGGATCCTGGAATTACTGCTCCAGTTATTCACTCCCTTTTCCTCTTTGCTTGACAGTTCAAGGAGAGGGACCAGTTGGAGGCCATCTTCAAGTTCTGGCGGAATCACGACCCGCAGACTTTCCAGATCAAGCAGCTCTGGGATCTGCGACTCCGGCAGTACCTGGGGGCCCGCTATGACTCTCGCCGCGGGGTGTGCGACTGGGACCTCAATATGAAGCTGCATGAACATGGGGTGCGTAACTGAAACAAAGGCCGTCGTGTTGGGCATGCAAATCCCTCTGGCTCAGCTTGGGGCTGCTGGGCTACAGAGATGGGCTCTGGGGAGTTACCGCCTTTCTACAGTTGTGGCATTTCTTTCCCCTCCTAGGCCAATGTGATAAACTTCCGTGAGTTTTACCGGTGGCGGGACACAGGCATGGCCTTTGAAATGCGGGAAGCCCCCTACGACATCCCCAACAAGACCTTGGCATCTGGCCGCCTCCTCAGACATGTGAGCCACCTCACTTTCTTGAGACTGGTTGTGCTAGGCCAGGAACTTGGAGGACTATCCTGTCATCCCTGACTAAATTAGCTGAAGCTTATGCGAGTTAAGAGTCCAGCACACTGGCTACACTTGGGCCTATTTTTGTGGGGTGGCAGGAGAATATACCGTAAGCCTATTCTTAGACAGGGTTACCACCCCTTCTGTGCCCCCCTTTCATTACCATTTTTAATAATTCCCCTCTTCCTTTAAGGAGCTCAAGTCGGTACAGGATGATTCCCCTTTCCCCTTTAGTTACATCAACCCTGTGAGATAGATTAGACTGAGAGAGAATGACTGTCTCAGAATCACAGAGCAAGTTTGATGGCTAGGTAGTGATTTGAACCCAGGTACACCCCGTCCAACGCGCTAACCACTGCACTGCACTGCCTCCTGTTACCTCAACAGCATGGGGGAGCCACACTGTAGCTTCTGTCATCCTTTTGCAATAGCATGAGAAGCAGAGAGGAGTGTGTCTAATCTGCAACTACCCATTCAGGATTTCTTGAAATGATTTGATTATTTTAATCTGCTTTTGCAGGTAGGTCTTGGGATGCAGGTTCTAGTTGCAGCAGGTGCAGTCCTACTAAGGGAGTAGGTCAGTTTTTAGACTGCTCTTTCCTTCTAGGACTAATACAAAATACATGTTTTTAGTCCTTCTGGATTCTGTGTCCTTTTTCCTCTCCCATCCAGTTTGTGAGCACTGTCATGCAGGATGAAAATGCACCCGTAATTTTGGCAGTCCGCAGCCATCCTCTGATGAAGTGTTGATTCTTGGGATCCCAACAGTTTCCACCTCTTGTCTGTAGTTACCGGTTCTCACGCTGCTGAGAACAGAACTTCATCTTATGAGCGAAACACCAGTTCCATGTTTGGGAAAGCTAACCAAGGGAGAATTAGTGGATAGGAAAAGGGGAGCTAGCCCTTCTGCCTGCCAGTTCTTCCCTTTAAATCCTGCCCCCCCTTCCTAGAAATCTTTGTAATTGCTTTTCCCCAGCAGGACTCTTAAACTGGTGGGCTACCAGCTGTGGGCAAAAATGACGTATATACTGATCCAGACTTCTTGCCTCTCAGAAAGGAGAACGAGTACCAGCACGGGGATATTGGGGAGACGTAGCCACAGGCCCCTACATCATTTTTGGGATTGAGGCAGAAGATCCCAGCCTGCTGAAAACGACCAATGGCATCCCCAGTAAGGTGAGTCTGGCTGCCTTTTTGCCAGAAAAGCAGCTGTGGTTTTGCAAGGAGAAGAGGGTTGATAAACAAGAAGACGATAGCTTTCTGAAAGCTGGAGTGAAAATGGATTTCTCTGCTGCCTCCTTCAGCCTTCGCTCCTCGTTGGATACCTTTACAGCCTTCCGATTGAGCACTGCCCTTTTTGCCTCTTCCTCATGCCTTAAGAGGGACAGCGTTTCCGTGCGCTGCTCTGGTTCGCCAGAAGCGGCTTAGTCATGCTGGCCACATGACCCGGAAGCTGTACACCGGCTCCCTCGGCCAATAAAGTGAGATGAGCGCCACAGCCCCAGAGTTGGCCACAACTGAACCTAATGGTCAGGGGTCCCTTTACCTTTACATGCCTTAAGAGGTTCATCCACCCCTTTTTCGTATACAAACACTGTATATGTTGTTCTGCTTAGATGTTTGTTTAGTGCGCTGTTTAACATGGATTTTCCCTTTCTGCGAAAAATCCAGCAAGTTGAAAAGCTTTGAAAACTGTTCCAAGAAAGTGGGGAAGTAGCTTTGTGACTGACAGAAATGCTGGCCAATTGGAACTGCTCAAAGCATGTTTCTCCGGAACTTGCTCATGGAGGGGAAGTTGTTTGTCTATCCCAGGGGTAGTCAACCTTTTTATACCTACCACCCACTAATGCGTCTTTCTTGATGGTAAAATTTCCTTACCGCCAACCAGTGCTCGATGGAAGGAGGATTCAGCTTGTGCCGTAGAACCCCCACCACCCACCTAGAATCCTGGAACGCCCACTAGTGGGCGGTAGGGACCAGGTTGACAACCCCATGTCTATAAAAAAAAAATGCAGAGCATGTATGGCATAAGGAGGATGTAGAGAAGCTAAAAATAAAATGAGGTTCAAGGGACTTGAATTCAAAGAGGGGAAAAGAGGGACTCAAATAAAAACAGATTCTGGTCTTCTTCTTTCTCTCCACAGAGTGCCCAGGAAATCTCCTTGCACAATGTCACTGCCCTGTTGTATGAACTCAGCTATAACACCCGCTATGACCCATCGGCATCCTCTGATGAGGAGGGAATGAGTGGCAACTTACAGGGGGCTGGTGACCATTCCAAGCTGGGTGCTAACGGTGGTGAGTAGTCAGCGGGTTGATTGCATATCATGCTATAAACCTTGGTCAAGTCAGGCATGCATCAGCAGGAAAGGGCCACAGACTTGCACAGATAGTTTGGAGCAGACATTTAGAAAGCTCCCCACCCCAAATCCTGGCTTGTCATGTTGTCTGGAGCAAGAATCATGGCTTCTTAAACTGGCTTATTAAACCAGAGCTCTAAATCACAACCCCTTGCCTGGGTGCTTTGGCCAGCTGAGTTCTGGGGAAAGTGAAACTTTAAAAACTGCTGAAGTAAAAGAGGGGAGGGGGCATGTGAGCCTGAGGCTTGTGCTGGTTTGTTCCTGCCCTGTGCATGTCTCTCCAAAACATGGTTTCATCTGACATACAAACTGGCCCAGGCAGTGCTCTCGGTTTAAGGGACTTTGAAGGGTCTTTTCCATTACTCTCTTGGGCCAGAGGGTTCCGCAATACGCCAGTGAGTGATGGCTTGTTGGCTTGACTCGATTTTGATCTTCCCTCCTTCCCAAGAGTTCAGGGCTAGTTACAAAATGTTTATACGATTCACTGACCCTTAAAAGCCTTGCAGTCTTGCAGCATCAGATTAATAGGCCCAGGGGAGAAGAGCGGGTGAGCAAACAGATTAATATAACATAAAGTGTTGAGGGACATCCTTTCCAGATGTTCCAGTGGCAGGCCTCATCTACGCCAGTTCTTTGGAGCAAGAGCAGTTTGAGCGGCCACTTGGGAGTAAGAGGGTCAACATCAGTGGGATTAGAACTTTCCCCTTCCAATTCCTCATGCAGCACTTTAAACCGTAGACATACAGTATGCAGTTTCACAACCCTTCTTGTTTTCTGAGGAGGCGGTTGAATGTATGTTTTGCATATAGAAACTCCCAGATTCAGTCCCAGGCATCTGTGGTGGAAAGGCTATCAGATAGCTGAGCTAAAAAGACTTCTCTGAGTCTTTGGAGAGCCACTGTCCATCAGAATAGGCAGTGCTGAGTTAGACGGACCAGTGGCCTGACCATATAAAGCAAGTTCATATGTGCTTGTGCCTACATATCTCTACATCACTGATTTTTTTAAAATGGAAGATGGTGTGGGTGTGTAGATATCCTAGATAGATAAAAATAATAAATGCATTTTGAGACTATTACCCTCCAATATCCTGGACCGCTTGTCTCTATTTCTATACTCTGCTGAGTTGCAGAAAAAAATTATCTGTTTCTAGCCACATTCCCTGTCCGCAAAATATATATCTGCTCCTTTCCCTGCCTTCTGTTGCATTGGCCTTGTTGTTTCTCAGCCCGGCTTTTTCTCTCTTCGCTGTGCGGTGCGTTTCCTATGCTGCAGGCCCTCCTTCCATAGAAGATGCCAGAGTCTGTTTCTTGCCTCTCAACTGCCTCCCTGAGCTCCACCACAAAGGCAAATACCAACAGCTCTTCAATCTCATCTTCGTCTCTTGCAGGTAGGAATGGGCTGAGGGCACGGGACTGCTGGTTTGGAGGCATGGGGAAGAGAATATTGCAGAAGTCTGGACTCTTGGGTTTCCTGCCAAGAAGTAGGAAGCAGCTAATAGGGTTGGGAGGCAGGACATGGTTTATCTAGTTGCAAGGAGGTTGGCCTATCTAGACTTGGGACATCATCAAAGCTTATAATTCCCTCACTTTGAATACAAGCCTGCCCAGCTCCTGAAATGAACGGACCTAAGCTAGTCGTGACCTTTAATTTCAGTGGAGGTACGTTGAGCAGAACTAGCATTGGATGCAATCTAATATAGTGCTTGGCTGTTGTGTAGCAAATGGAGTGCCATTTCCCCCAAAGGTACTTCCCAGTTTAGAACACAAAACAAGATTTTTGTGAGGGTCTGTGCATCCCTGGTCAGCATTTAGCAGGCCAGCCACCTATGGCCCGCACCCTTTGTTGGTGCACGCACAAAAGGTATCTAATATTAGCCCTTTGCCCTTGATGGGACTCGCTCATTTCTGTGAGTTAGTGACCAGACCACACAACCAGGTTTGGGGAGTTTCTCCTGCATTGAGGCCAGCTCTCTTTAGGGTGCTACCAATTGACCTCTTCTTTATGGAGCATTCATGCTGATTTGCTTGTGGCGAGGTTAGGTGACGTTGCATCAACACAAGTGTTATCCCACACTGAGAGTCAGCGTAGTGAAGTGGTTAAGAGTGTTGGACTCGTAATCTGGTGACCCGGGTTCGCGTCTCCGCTCCTCCACATGCAGCTGCTGGGTGACCTTGAGCTAATCACACTTCTCTGAAGTCTCTCAGCCTCACTCACCTCACAGAGTGTTTGTTGTGGGGGAGGAACGGAAAGGAGATTGTTAGCCGCTTTGAGACTCCTTAGGGTAGTGATAAAGCGGGATATTAAATCCAAACTCCTCCCCTCCTCCTTCTCCTCCTCCTCCTCCTCCTTCTCTCCAGTGCATTTTCCTGTCACTTTCTTTATCACAAAAATTCTTGTATTTTGGGGAAGTGGGCTTATTCCTCAAGAGCTCTCCTACATTTTGTCGAATGACTTACATGCCATTAAAACTCACCATTGCTTAGTTAATTCCAAATTGTTCAGAGGGCAGTTTGCCATCACTAGAGTGGTCAGCAAAGATGGTGGGTCCTCCGCCTCTTATCTCTACAGTCACCACTTCCTCCTTGCTTGTCTTTTGTAGCATGGTGCATGTCCTAAAACCAAATGTGAATCTGATTGCAGCCCCGAAAGCCACTCTTATTGTTGAGCTGACAAAGTGAGTATTATTTTCTGCACCCTCTCTTGGGAAGCTGGCCCACTATGGATGTGTGCACATTTGTTCATTAGAGCACGTTGGAAGTCATAGTTTTTCCTGGTACTATATCTTCCCCTAGCTGTTCACATCAGCACAGCCTCACTAGTGTCAGATTCATTTCAGTTTGTGTGCACATCAGGGGGTGTTAATAGGGGCTGATAGCCAATTGGGAGATTTGGGAGTACTAAAACAAATTACCGAGAGCGATCCAGTGGGGTGAATTGGTTCCTTCTGAATGGAGCAGGCTGGGTACAGACAAGAGCCAGAACCACCTTGGGAGGGCTGTGGGGCCTAATTAAACAGAGCAGCTCATTAGCCAGGGTGTTTAATGGGATCCAGGACTCCTGGGTTCCCCACACCCCTTACTCATCTGTCCACTTCTTCTTTTCACAGCTTCCTGCCTGACCTCCACAAGGAGCAGGTCTCTGTGTTCTCCTCTCAAGTAGCCAAACAAGTGGCTGAGGCAGGATTTGTTCCAGTCCAAGCAGCAGACAAGAGACCCTTCTCCTTGTTCCAGCTTGGGCATCAGGAGGCTGGAGAGATCTGTAATGAGTTCCCTGCGCTCGAGATGACAGCGCCTGGTCCCTGAGGTTCCCCCTCTGTACCCTGGTTTCCTTTATAACCATTATTTTTAAAAGAAAAATATTTAGTTTCAGACGAGAGTTTCTTGTGGAATTGTTACAGCTCAGTCACACAAACTTTTCTTTTCTTTTCTTTTCTTTTTTACATTTAACCTTGCTGTGGAAAATCCGAGAAGTACAAACGACGCATTATGCATGCACAGTCACTGCTGATATAGAATCTCATCAGTGTTTGGGGTTTTTTTCTGGGCCAGTTGTCATGTGTGTAGTGGCATTTCAGTGGTTGCTCTCGGGGACCTCTGCTTTCGTTTGCTCCTTAGCTGAGCTGTTTTCTTTCCAGCGACTCCCCAATACCAGAAAAGTTCATTTCTGCCCATTGCTGTGTCTTGGTGGGACTTTTGATATAAAAATTAAAAAAAATATTTTAAAGGGTTGTCTTGCACAAGTCCTCTTTATCAGAATTTTGATATTTTGTTGCTGCTGAGGTCTGTGAGGCTGGGGAGAGGCGTTTAAAGATGAAACTTCAGGAAATAACAGTCCTAGGCTGTGAAACTCCCTGGCTGAGGGGAACAGGCACCTCAGTTTTTGTTTGTTTCTTTGTTCTGCTGGCACCTTATTATTTTTTTTACTGTCGCTGGCTTAGTTGTGGACTCAAGTGGGGAACTGAAGATGCTTGCTTGTGCTACCTTTATTTGTCCTAAAGAGATCACCCTACTTCCAGATACCGAAAATCCTGTAATAGGGACCAGTCCAAGGTGCCAGAGATCCCCTGGAGGGAGGGGCAAACTCTGTCCTCTCCCATTCAATTACTCACAAACAAGGTAACAAAATATCCTTAAAGTAGTGACTGGTGGTGGGCAGGTGGGACATAGGGGACAGAGCTGGTGTTTCTCTGCAAACAAGAAAGGAGCCAGGGCAAAAAAGAACAAATACAACTTTGTAATCTGACATTCAGGGTTTGTAGGCAAATCTTAGGTAGGCGTGATGACCTTGGTGGAGGACCTTGCTTGAAAGGAAATGCATGGAGAATTCTAGGTTGACACTTAGGCTCATGTTAATCTGTGCAGGATCGCAGCTGTAGATTGTGACTTGCTTTGCGACTTGGCTGTGGAATTAACTCCACCCTTCCCAGCCAATCAGACAGTGAAGGATGGAGGGCAGCAGGCAAAGTTGTACTTTGGGGACTTATTTTTTATTCATCGGAGGCAGAATTTATATGTGCACTCTTAAGCTTATGCATAGGCATAGAGAGTGTTGTAACCAAGAGAGAGAGATAGCGTTCTCTCAATCTCGGTCTCCTCAGCTCCCAGAAGAGAGCAGTGTTGTGCCTCCGCTTCCTTTTTCTGCCTACACTTCATACTAGGTGGGAACCTGTGGTCCTCTGACTGTCGTTCAGCTCCCATCAACCCCATCCAGTATGGTAAATGGTGATGGGTTTTGAAGCTGGAAGCTTCTTAAGGGTTCCTCAGTGAAAAGATGACGTTTCCATGCGCTCTGGCTTCCGTTACGGTGCCCCATTGTGCCAGAAGCGGTTTAGTCTTGCTGGCCACATAACCCGGAAAACAAACACTGGCTTCCTCAGCCTGGAAGCAGAGATGAGTGCTGTACCCCATAGTTTAATTTGACTGGACTTAACCATCCAGGAGTCCTTTACCTTTACCTTTTACCCAGTGAGAAGACCTGATCTGGTGGATAATGGATCAGCTTTGCTTTGCAGGAAGACAAGTTGCCCACTGCCACTTCCAATCTTCACCTACAATGCATAGCCACATAGCAGTTTTGGGTGTTTTCTATAGCGTGCATTCTTATTTCCCATGGAGTGACAGTGAAGTTTCATCAGGTCTGGACAGGGTGATGTGTAAACAGCTAAGTTACATACCTTTATAAATACTCCCTAGAATCCCTGCTTATGTTTTGGTAAATGGTTTTGTATTGATCAAAAGGGTTCATTTAATTTTAATGGTTAAAAGCAACAACTACTTCACAGAATCCTTTGCAACATGTCAGAGTTCTGCGGCAGGTAAATCAATATTGCAAAGGTTCTCTGGATGCAGAAAGTTTTGTGAAAACACTGCTGTAAGTGTCATGCTAGCATTCTGTTCATTAAATAAATAGTGAAAGGTGTGTCTCCAGCCCATGCATTAAGATCTTCAACTGAGGCCCTTCTCCAAATGCCATTGCTTATGAAAGTGCATTACGCTTGGAGAGAGAGAGAGCCTTTCAGTGGATGGGCTCCTGACTTTGGAACACCCTGAAGATGTTCAACTAGCATTAACATTATAGCCTTTTTGGCACTGAGCCAAGTCTTCCTTGCTTGCGCAGGTATTTTTAAAAGTTACACGTGTCTGTGGTTTGCTTTATAGTTTCACCTCTGTGTGTTTTTGTTTCTTTTGTCTTAGGACGTATTATGTTTTGCTTTTATTGTATTTTATTGCTGCTATTGTATGTTGCCTTAGGAACCGACTGGATGGACAATTCAGAATTATTATTATTTTTAAATAACAACTTTAGCCTTCCTGATCCAAAATTCTCAGGCTGGGTTGCAATCTTGCTAACTCAGTATAAATCTTAAGGTTTAAACAAAAAGTAACAGAACTATAACAGAGAAGCCCACTCTAAATGAGTCATGATGGACAGACTTCTTTGAGATATCTTTATCCTGCACCTTTCTGCAAGAAGCTCAGGGCTGTATGTGTTGCCCTCACCATTTATACTTGCCATAATTCCGTGTGGTAGATTAGGCTAAAAGACCTAATCCAGTGACCCCACTGGACCATTTTATCATGCCAGCTGTAAGGAACCAAGTGCTGGCTTTTGCAATCTTTCAGAGTGGTACAACTTCATACGCCGAAGAACCCTTGGTGACCTCTTCCTACATGTTGCCCTGAGCTTTTTGGAGAAAGGTGCAAGATTCCAGACTGTTTGCAGTGTTAAGATGCTGCACAGCAGCTGCTAACAAACCATGTATCATTTCTGCTCAGCCTTTAACTCCAGAATTGTCTCATGCATAGGGAAAATTGCTGCTCTGTTTAGCAGACTTCCTCATGGAGAGTTCAGGCTTGGCACGAGGAGTCATTCACACTCGTAGATAAATTCTCACAGTCAACCTGTTCACAAACACAGCTCTCTTTGTGATGTTCATATCTAATGCTTGGATTGCATTCTCTCTCTTACACACACACACACACACACACACACACACACACACAAATGATTGTAAGTGTACAGCAGGGGTGGGGAACCTTTTTCACCCTGAGGGCCACATTCTGTTCTGGGCAATGTTCTAAGGGCCACATAGCAGTGAATGGTCGTGCAAGGTACTTTGCAAGTCCTATGTTCAGACCTTCCCAAGCCAAAGTTTATAGGTTGGAGGAAAGATTGAATCTGAGCCAGCCCTTTCCTTGGGGGCTCAGTCTGCCAAAGACGACGACATCCCTTTCCCTGCCCCTTCTCCTGTGAGTGTCTGGTGCCACTTCTTATCAGAGGAATGCATTCCGTTCCCCTTCTTCCCTAAAAGGCTTCGCTGATGCTGAGCTGTCTACTTTATAAAAGGCCACCAGCCATTTTGGTGACTGCACAGTAACTCAAAACCTGTTTCCCCGCCATCTGTGCATCGTCCGGTTCCCAGAGACATCAGGTAAATGGGGGCAGTTCTGTTTGGGAGGTGGGGAGGAATTAAAAACATGCTTGCCTGTGTGTGTATCTGGGGCGGAGGGAGGGTGGTATCGTTCTGTGTAAACTGAAAGAGATATTCTTTTCCTCCATGAAGATAAAAGGAATCGTCCTGAATATTTTCTGAGGAAACGTTTCCCCCCTTTATAGGGCAATGGGAAGGTCAGTGCAGCTGTCATAAGGTACAATAACGCTGCAATCCTATTCTCACTTATTTAATGCATTATTAAAAGATTTCTGTACTGCTTTTCATTTACAAAAAGCAATACCAAAGCGGTTTCTGAAAATAAAATGCCAAATCCATTAAAAAAGGAACAAAATCAGGAAGAACAAAAAAATCACAGTAGGCAGTCACACCCCACAGCCATAGTGCTTGCCTCATCTCAGTTCAGAGACAATTCCACATGGTAGACACTGTCACAAAGAAGACTTGAATTGCATTTATATTCTCCAAGGAGCTCAGTGTGGTGTACAACAACCCTGTGAGGTAGGCTAGACTGAGAGTGAGTGACTTGTCCGAGGTCACCCAGAGATCTTTCCTGAGTGAGTGGGGATGTGAACCCATAGCCATGGGATTGTCGCAGTCATAGAATTTGTGCAGGCTTATAAGGCGCATCAGGCTTTATTTTCTTTACAAGGTCACTTTTCAAGACCAGCAGAAACTACAAGTTGTGTAGGTATTCCCAGGACACAGAAGCAAGCACACAGGTAGTATACATTTCATCTATTTGGCCCCATCCCATCCCAAAGGACCAAACTCGGGTAGCACAGAGAGCCCCCCCAAATTCTAAAACCTTTCTTCTAAAAACATCACCCACTGTTCTAAAGCAGTTGAAGTGCATCTAATAGGACCCCCCTTTTTTAATCAGAACATATTCACATGAACATTTACTTCAGTTTAGGACTTGCTCTGCAAGTTATTTGAATCATAGAATCATAGAGTTGGAAGAGACCACAAGGGCCATCGAGTCCAACCCCCTGCCAAGCAGGAAACACCATCAGAGCACTCCTGACATATGGTTGTCAAGCCTCTGCTTAAAGACCTCCAAAGAAGGAGACTCCACCACACTCCTTGGCAGCAAATTCCACTGTCGAACAGCTCTTATTTGGTTCCATTCCCCCCGCCCCCACAGGGTTTTTCTGTCTGCCTGTGGAGGCTGCTCCATTAGGATGAATGGGGGCGCTGCTGCCTCCCCAACCTCAAAATACTCTTCGGCTGCTTTGTGGGTTTTTCTTTTTCTTTGTGTGCAGTAGTTATATCATTTTAGAGCATGGGCGTAATGGCCTCACAGGAAAAGGGCCTCTTTAGAAGGTAACATGCATTGCTTTGCTACTTTCAAATGCTATTATGGAAACTCTTTAGTGCAGGTGAGTCCATTAGGGTGAATGGAGAGCTGGCCCAACAACCTCACTCTCTCAGCCCCCAACTGCATGCTTTCTAATTAAAAACCATCCCATGGCATGGCACTGCCTGTCAGCTTCCTCCATCTTAGTCACAGTTTTGCCCCTTATAGAACTCGACAGTCAGGAGGAAGATAGGGACAAGACTAGTAGTAGTTGGTCCTGTCTTTTGTCGCATCGGGCTCCATCCCCAGTTGGGATCCCTGCTTTCCACCCTGCCACCCCCAGTGAGCACCATTTCTGCCTTCATGGGGAACTCTCCAAGCAGCTGACAATTGAAAACAGGAAGACCATAAAATGGGTTCTTAATAGGTGTAAACAGTAGAAGGCACCTATCCCTGGTTCTAAATTGCCCTGAACTTCCAATCCTGTCGTCGTTTCTAAAGTTTCTCTTCTAATTGCTGGTTTGCCACTGTTCTTGCTGTGTCTTAAATTGATTTGACTATTGTATTGTTTTAACTTACTAGTAAGCTACCCAACCCTGTAGCTGAAGAAACATATAATTGCCTAAATTATATTATATGCATTCTTCTTTAAAAACAACAACAACCAAGCTGCCAATTTATCTGCTGGAGCTATTCTGTTATGAGAAGGAAATGATGCCTCCTCTTAAAGAGGGTGTAGATGAGGCAATCCTTCCTGACCTAGGATACTGGGTGGCAGATCCCGTGTCAGTATGTTGCAAGGGCCGGCCCAGCCATTAGGTAGAATGAGACAGCCTCCTCAGGTAACAGGGCAAGGGGGTAGCAGTAACAAGGTGTTACAGGGCATAGCTGTGTATGAGGGCCCCCTTTCCACCCTCTAATAAGAATTAACTACCATTCTAGTCATCTTCAGCATATGGCATGGCGGTCGCCATGTTGTCCTTGGCCTCAGGTGGCAAAATTACTTGCACTTGCCCTGGGCAGCTGCCAAGAACTTGGCGCCCCACCACAGCCCACCATTGACCCCTTCCTGAGCCCCTGCTTTCCACTGCTGTCAGGTAAGGCTGCTCATGCATAAGGCCTCCTCAAATCTGAGATGGACCTGTTGGGTTGGCTTCAAGTAAACCTAGGTCAGTCTTAAAGAGTCGTTGGCAGCGCAGTTCTCTTTGCATGAGGGAGAAGAAAGACAGACAGAGAAGAGATCTCTTTGAAGAAAAGCGGGAGAAGGCCTGGCAGGCCCCTCCTGCTGCATTTCTGGCTGTTGCTGGCAGCAGATGTCTCTAGAAAGGGTGCTGAATGGTTGGTTTCACACCTAGCGCTAAGAATAAAGGCGTCCCTTTGCAGCTCTGGGGGTGTACGGGAGGCAGAGAGATGGCTGCCTCTGTATTTTTTGCTCCAAGGCTGTGAGATTTCCCCCACCCCATTTCTGAGCCTGAGGGAAATAATTTCTTTTAAGGCAGGCTGGCACAAATATTAGCCCTTCTGCAAGTGTGGGGAATTAATCCCCAATCCATCCCTTTCTAAGAAACGTTGCACTTTCTGCACTGGCTGAGGGGATCGCTTTTGAAAATAAAACCTATACCATCTCTGCCACACACAAAATGTAGGGGGGCAGAGATGTGCCTGAACTGACCCCGTCCCATTTAGCTTTGGTTTTGTGGTTCTCGTTCTCTCTCTCTCTCTTTCTCTCTCTCTCTGCCTCAGCCTTTTTCTCATTGCCTCTCTGTGGAATGGCCTGGCCCCATTTTAGAAGTGATAAGACAGCACAAATTTAGCTGCTCTGAAGAGCTCCAGTGATAACAGTGTATCTCGTACATGATTCAGAGAAATATGTGCATATATATATAAAGGCCAAAGCAGGGTCTGTAGTGGGCAGGAACAAGAACAAGTTCTAGCACATTCTGAGCTCCCCAGTGAAGGCCTGTTGACACGCCATGCTTTGGAGAAAGATGATCATCACCATATAAACCTTGCATTTCCTCCCGCCCCCTCCCCTCAGCATTTTTGCACATTTTAGCACATGGTAATTCAGTCCCCTGGGCAGCTCCAGGCCATTTCATACAGGATTAAAAGGCAAATTCAGGTTTGAAAGGTGTGAAATGACAGAGCTGCAGACAATACACATTTTTTTCTCCCTTCACACATTGTTAGGCATGTGCTTAAGATGTTTTAAGTGTACATTTAGAGTTCCTTTGATTGTAGGCAAACCCCTTTTTTTCTGTGTGTGAAGCTGTTTATGTACCAGATGGTTCTGACAAGGGGAGGGCAGATTCTGGGCTTGTGAAATCTATTTCTTTTTTTAAACTGAATCCCGAGATCCACCAACCACAGCCAGGTACAAAAAGACATACTGTATTCTTTGCTCTATTAGACTCACTTTTTCCCTCTCAAAAAGTAAGGGGAAATGTGTGTGCGTCTTATGGAGCGAATGCACGCTGCACAGCTATCCCAGAAGCCAGAACAGCAAGAGGGATCGCTGCTTTCGCTGTGCAGCGGATCGATCCCTCTTGCTGTTCTGGCTTCTGAGATTCAGAATATTTTTTTTCTTGTTTTCCTCTTCCAAAAACTAGGTGCATCTTATGGTCTGGTGCGTCTTATAGAGCGAAAAATACAGTGCCTCCAGAGCAGGGCAAGTGCCCCACCAAGCAAGGAGCTGTTTTTAAAGAAATAAATATTTTGAATGCCAGGAATACATGAAGTAGTAGCAGAGAGTCTCTGAACATGTGAAAAGTACTTTCCCCATACCACTGAATTGTCATTTTGTAGCTACAGATCTGAGAGCAGGGATTATGAACCTAATAACCTGGGACTGAGTCAAAAGACATGACGTTGAGGCAGTATTAAACCCTAGTACCTTGGGGTTAAATATCTAATCCTTTTCTCCCTTGCAATCCTTTGTGGAAGCATTAGAAATAAGCTTGCGCACCACGGATTAATAGTAAAGAAGGTACACGTGTGTATAAAAGGAATAGTAATATATTTGTTTTGATTTCCCCCAGAATACTTGAAGTTTGATTTCTCACCATGGCAGAAGAGTGAGTCATTTTTGTTTATTAACTGGAGGGGTGGTGGTATGTGCGTTTTGGATGTTGATGAAAGTTGGTGGGCTGTAGGGACAAGTGCACTTTAAAAAGCACTCTTAAGACGTGCCAGGGGGTAAAGGCAGGATATATGAATCAGAGGCTCATATTCAGTCTGACTCACCTGTGCCTTTCTATCTTTCACAGGGAAGAGATCACAGTAAGTACTAGCAAAGGAACATTCTCAAACCTGATGAAAAATAAACACTGATCTTTATTTTCAGTTATGATATTTTTGTGCTTTCTTGAAAATCCTTTATTAATGCATAAAGGAAACTTTTAAAAATGAAATATTAGGCAGTTTGCAAAGTCTTTGTGTTACACCAGCACTTAATTATTGAAAAGAGATGTTCAGCGGTTCCGGCATTCCTGGGAAGTCACCTGCGCTGCCCTGAAAACTTCCCTCCTTAATTGCTAATGTGTGTAAGCATGTTGTGGTCACATTACACTGGAGAATATGCACTCTGCACGTGTTCAGTGGTGCTCTTCTTTATCATGATTCCATATGTTCCAGGAATGAATCCTGATGCTAAAAGCAGGGCTGAGTGTGTGCCTTGGCAGAAACCCAGTATATAAATGCAATAAATAAATCCGGAATCCGAAAAATGTGAATGAATGGTGGCAGAGTTATGCCACCTCCCTCCGCACCCCCCAGTCCCACAATAAACCCTCTCTAAAACTCAGACATCGCTTAAGTACCATTCCTCCTCCAGCCCTCTTCCGTGTGCTTCCTATAGAATTCGTTGAAGGCAGTATGCCAATGAACATAATGAAAGTAATGGTTTCTTTATTCTTGCAGTATGAAGAAGAGGAGGAGGAAGAATACACGGAGGAGGAAACACAAGAAACAATAGTGGAGACCAAAAAGGAGCCACAGCCACCGCCACCCAAGCTGGCCCACCCACCTCCCCCGCCTGCCGCTGTCCCTCCTCTCCGAAGGAAATCTTCTGCCAACTATCGAGCCTATGCGATTGAGCCGCATGACAAAGTGAGTTCCTGTGTCCTTTAAAGGCATATCCTTCAGGCATGGCCAAACTTGGCCCTCCAGATGTTTTGGGACTACAGTTCCCATCATCCCTGATCGCTCATCCTGTTAGCTAGGGATGATGGGAGTTGTAGTCCCAAAACATCTGGAGGGACAAGTTTGGCCATGCCTGCTTTAAAGCAAAGCTGGAGGGTAGAACTTAGGGACGCCGAAGGAATCCGATTAAGTTCCCATTTAAAGGCGAATCTGTCCAATTCACACTTTCTTGAAACAGTACGCAAACCGAAACGCAGCTGTCTTCTGAAATTCACATCCGTCTGAATTTTGCAGTCCAGTTCTCCAAACAGGCAGTGTTTACAAGTCTGCTGAATTTTCATGAGGGATTTTTATTATTATTAAGGGGGGGGCGGAATCACCAATTGCAGCAGAAATGTGGAGAACTGAATTTAAGTTTGGACAAATGAGAAACTCAGAGAACCAAAATTGACACACCCTTCCATCCCCAGTAAAACAGCATGTGGGGCTGAATTTATGGGCCTAAAAGCAAGTGTTAATCCCATACTTGCTGCTACATTTTCTGATCCCTCTCCTTATAGGCGTAGCTAAGTCTGATATTTTGGGAATGTGGATTTCTTGTGCAAGACTTTCCAGGTCACCTGTGATTGGGCAAACCTGAATTTGCTGGTATGTGTGAATGAATCCCACACAAAAATAGCATTAGTCCGGAAGTCTGTATCTAATCCATTATAAGCAAACAAACAAGCTGCCATGAGCCAGAGTAGATAGCATTTATTTATTTAGTATCAAACCCTTCCTCTGAATTTGCATAGGGTCCTCACTTTGGGATTTGGATCTCTCAATTCTGAGGCATATATAAATCAGGCCTAAAGCAGACCAGTTGGTGCTGTGCAAGTTCCTGCTTCCTTCCTTCCCTATTGAACTGTCTGCCTTGACAGTGAGAGTGAACTTCATCTGCCATGCCTTCTGTATTTTGTTTTATTTGTGAGAACAGTTATTCTTGTAATTTTAAGAAGCTCGCTTCTCTCACACACATCTTTTCCTCACACAAGACATCTTTTCCTTTTGTTCCACCACAGAGAAAATCCAAGATAACAGCTTCTCGGAAATTACAACTCAAGGTAATGTTGGAAAACTTTCTGTGCAGAGATTTGAATGGCCAAGGGAGTCCACACTAAATCTAGTGTGCTTGCAGCCTCCACTAGTATCTAAGTGGACAAGATTTCAGGAGACTGGAAGAGGAAAGGAGGCGCAGTGGACACACAAAGATGGATTGGGCCGTGGCAGGTTTGTGTCATTGGAGAAAAAGCATGAGACTAGAGATACTCAATTAGGCAATGTGTCCTTCCTTTATCTCAGGCATTGATGCTCCAGGTGGCAAAGCACGAAATGGAAAAGGAGGAAGAAGAGTGTGCCCAGGAGAAAGAGCGGTACCTCTCTGACCACTGCACCCCTTTAGAACTAGCAGGCCTCGGCCTCACAGAACTGCAGGTAACCAGGGAGGGAGGGAGGATGGGGCTGGGCCAAGGATGAAGTCCGGTCAATGCTAACAGGTGAAGATAGATGTGATAAGAAAAGAGAACTCAGCACGCATTCCCCATTTGTGGAGTGAACCGAGTTTCCTTCTGGTTCAGCAGCTGAAAGGACAGGCATAAAGGTAAAGGGACCCCTGACCATTAGGTCCAGCCGTGGCCGACTCTGGGGTTGCAACGCTCATCTCGCTTTATTGGCTGAGGGAGCCAGCGTGCAGCTTCCGGATCATGTGGCCAGCATGACTAAGCTGCTTCTGGCGAACCAGAACAGTGCATGGAAACACTGTTTACCTTCCCGCCGGAGTGGTACCTATTGATCTACTTGCACTTTGATGTGCTTTTAAACTGCTAGGTTGGCAGGAGCAGGGGCCGTGCAATGGAAGCTCACCCTGTCGCGGGGATTCGAACCGCCGACCTTCTGATCGGCAAGTCCTAGGCTCTGTGGTTTAACCCACAGCGCCACCCGCGTCCCTCCGAAAGGACAGGCATAGGCGCCAGAAAATCAAATGCCAGCTCAACTGTCAGCCTAATAGCCTTTCCCCTCCCACCCCATATTTTGGGGGGGGGGGTATTAAAGCGCAATATTCATGTGCTTGCCCATTCATCTGTCTCCTGATTGGCTTTTTTAAAAAAGTAAAAAATTCTTGGTGACTGAGATTTCTTTTTCTTGTTCTGAGATTTCCACATGTTCAGTGAACACTCTTCTCTATTGCGTCTGAGCCTCCTTTTGCGCCCGAACCCTGGCTCGGCCTAATCCTGACCTGGCTGCCTTGGGTGCTCTCCATTTGTTTTTGGATTTCAGCTTGTTGGCTGGGGCTGGTGGAATTTGTACTCTCACAGCATCTGGAGGGGCTCAAGTTGGCTTAAGCCTCGGTTGCTGTAGTCACACCCTCTTCTTGCCAACTCACAGGAGATGTGCCGGCAGCTCCATGAGAAGATTGGCAAGGTTGATGAGGAGCGCTATGACATGGAGGCCCGAGTCAACAAGAGCATCAATGAGGTGGGTTCAAGGCACCTGCATGCGGGGCTGCAGAGAGCTGCAATCCCCAGAGCTCCCTGGGGATCATAGAATTGAAGAGTTGGAAGAGACCTGGAGGGTCATCTAGTCCAGCCCCCTGCAATGCAGGAATCCTGTTCATGGCCATTCCTGGGTGGTCTTGAACCACCAACCTTCTGGTTAATATCCAGGCGCAGTGACCCACTGCACCAACTGATCGCTTTAACAATCCGGGAATTGTAGCTCTGCGAGAAGAATAGGGGTCTTCCAACAACTCTCAGCACTTTTAACCCACAACAGTTCCCAGGCTTCTTTGGGGGATGCCATGACTGTTTAAAGTGCTAAAACACTGCTTTAAATGTGTGTTGATGCTGATTTAAATGTATTTTGTAGAAGACGTGACCTAAAAACAAGGCAGGTTCCAATGTAGCGGGGGGGGGGGGAATGAAGTACTGATGGTAGCCACTAGGTGTCAGTGCTGGTCCAGTTATTATATTCACATGATAAGTAAGGGCTGAGTTTGGGTCACCCCCCACCACAACTGACCTCCCCTCAGTCCATTGCTGTAGCCATTTCCCTCCCTTTCAGCTCATTTCAATTTTCCAAGCAGTTATGCAGACTTTTATCAGAGGACTGAACAAATTCGTGGCAGGTAAGTCTTAGCTACCGGTTGCATACATCCCCCCTGTAATCCCAGCTGGGCTGTAACAACCTGAAGCAGCCTTTTATAGTTGCAGATGCTCGTGTATATTCCTTGCTGGGAAAATTGGTGATAGAATCTGAGAACACCCTGGAACACAGGAATTTTTAGCACGCACACCCAGCTCCTTGCTGGAGCACACGCTGGCAGCGCGGCAGCGACTCTTCTCTAGTTTTCAAATGTTGACACTCTTTTGGTCCCTGCTTTCCAGATCCAGGATTTGAACCAGAAGATTTTTGACCTGCGAGGCAAGTTTAAGCGCCCGGCTCTCCGCCGCGTCCGGCTCTCTGCTGACGCCATGATGCAGGCCCTTCTAGGCTCCAAGCACAAGGTCTCCATGGATCTCCGAGCCAATCTCAAGCAGGTCAAAAAAGACGACACCGAGAAGGTGAGGAGGCCAGTGGGATTGGGGTGGGTAGAGGAGGGGGAAGTGCAGGAGATGGAAGAGGAGAGAGAGTGGTTGTGGGGTCTTTAAAAACCCCATGCTCTCTAGGCTTACATGATGTAGGGAAATTGATCCTCTCCCATTGCTCTTCAGGGTAGTTTGGATGACGGGGAAACATGCAACTTTAATGGCAAGAAACCTGAAGCTTCAGTATGTGCTTGAATCTGTCCTGCAAAAAAACTGACGGCCTGGAAGTGCCCAGACCCCAGAGACTCTCCCACGCACTGGGGATGGCCTCAGCCTCTGTGCTTGGAAATGCTGCAACTCAGTGGTTGAGCCTGTGCGTTGTAGGCAGAAGTTCCCGGGATCACGCTCTAGGCAGGTGCCTGGAGAGCGGTACCAGTCTGATGCACAGGAAGCAGCTTCCTTTGATCCTATGAACAGCAACCAGGGGTGGACTTGGGTACTATGGCACCCTGTGCAAAGCCCAAATTGGGTGCCCCCTCTCCCGCCCACTGCTTCCTCATTTGGAAAGCAGGTGTGAGGGCTCTGGCAGGGTCCTAGAGCCCTCCCCCCCATTGCCCCAAGCTGGGAAAGTGCTAACTAGGCTTTGGGAAGCAGCAGGGAGGACTCTAGGACCCTGCCAGGGCCTCATGCCTCCTTCCTGAAGGCCAGCACCTCGCCTACTGGGCTTTGCGACCTGCGCCCCCTTGGCTCAGTGCCCAGTGCATGCAGACTGCTCACACAGCCTTAACTCCACCCCTGCAAGCAACTAGTGGTGGGTGGGTGTGGGTGAGAGAGAGAGGGAGGGAGACAGAGAGGTTTTGGCAGGAATAGCTTTCTTCACTCCTGCATGACAGGCAGCTGCACCTTCCAAAAAATATTCTTCTATACAGTTCTTTTTTAAAAAAGGATTCCTTCCCTCCTTTGTGTCTGATCGTGCTAATGAGAGGAGAACAGAGACCAAGACCCTATGTTGCTGGCTGTTCAGACCTTGCATGAATTTTGAATTATTTTGTTAAATAATGGTTGCTGGGGAGGTTATTAGGATTTGACTTCCGCAAACAGGCAAACAGTCTTCTTTGCAGTCTTAGATGTATTTACACACACACACATATATATATACACGCACACACACACACGCACACACACACACACACACACACACACACACACACACACATATATATGTAAATAGGGTGGTGCTGTGGTCTAAACCACTGAGCATAGGGCTTGCCAATCGGAAGGTCGGCGGTTCGAATCCCTGCAACAGGGTGAGCTCCTGTTGCTCGGTCCCAGCTCCTGCCAACCTAGCAGTTCGAAAGCACATCAAGTACAAGCTATACTGCCCAGAATTCTTTGAGGGTGGAAATGTGCTTTGAATATACTTTAAAGGCATATCACACACACTCAGCGAGACCCACGTGATTGTATCGTGTGCTTTCAGGCCACCATGGATAGTTACAGCAGTTGGCATGGATGGACATAAAATTTCACAAACCTGCATTGTCTCTGCCAACAGTTCGTCTCTAATTATTCTCACCCCCTTGCCAGATTCCTCCTCCTCCTCCTCTGCATTTTTCTTTCCTTCCGTTCCTGTCACTGTAGCACGGAGAATATTCCATGCACGCAGTGGTGTGCTTTGATAATTTTAGATTATGGTGTTACAGGAGGAGGTCCTGGAAGGCGCACCCCTTTACTTCCTTCAAATAGCGTTATGGGAGCATCTTCCGTGGAAGCTAGCCCGCTGCCCCACCAGCCTCCGTTCTGCCTTGGCCCGTCCCCACCTGTCCTGCCTTCTTACTTGAAATGAACCCAGAGGGTGGCTCGGTTTGCTAGCTTCCTCCTGCTGCTCATTCTCAGTGCCGCCCTTGTAGAACTCAGCAGGGAGAAGGAGGAGGGACTAGACGTATTTGGCTCCGCCTGCCATTGGCTTTGGCTCCACCTATCACACATTGGCCCACCTATTGGAGGAGGATTGCCTCTCTCCATCAGCCCCGTTTGTCCTCCTGCAGGAGAATCGTGAGGTCGGGGACTGGCGGAAGAACATTGACGCTTTGAGCGGCATGGAAGGGCGCAAGAAGAAATTTGAGACCACCGCAGGACAAGCTTGAGCAGTGTGTGAGGTAAGGGAGATGGTATGGGATACACAAACACATGTGCTATGCATTGGGCTACAATCACAAGGGACAGCATTGCTGTGGAGGGCTGCAGCCAGAGGAGGGGGGCCTACCCCTCAGGGATATTCTGTGGGGCTTCCCCCCCTCAAAGTCCAGCTTTCATATTCTTATTCTTATTCTTATTCTTATTCTTATTCTTATTCTTATTCTTATTCTTATTCTTATTATTATTACAGTGGTACCTCGGGTTACATATGCTTCAGGTTACATACGCTTCAGGTTACAGACTCCGCTAACCCAGAAATAGTTCTTCAGGTTAAGAACTTTGCTTCAGGATGAGAACAGAAATTGTGCTCCGGCGGCAGCAGCAGGAGGCCCCATTAGCTAAAGTGGTGCTTCAGGTTAAGAACAGTTTCAAGTTAAGTACGGACCTCCGGAACGAATTAAGTACTTAACCTGAGGTACCACTGTATTGTTATTATTATAAAAATGTTGGGAAGAGGGGATATTCTGTGGGGCTTCCTCCCACAAAGTCCAGCTTTCATTTTTTAAAAAAAGTTTGGTCTCTAGTGCATCCGACTTGGGAAGAAGAAAGCATGCAGGCACTATTTCAATGGTTCACTAAGAACTATAATACCATTAAGGCTGCAGTCCTGGGAGTAAGCCTCACTGAACCTCATTGAAGGATATTGACAAGCTGGAACGTGTGCAGAGGCAGGCAGCCAAGATGACAAAAGGGTCTGGAAACCAGCCTTATGAGGAATGGTTGAGGGAGCTGGGGATGTTTAGCCTGGAAAAGAGGAGACTGAGAGGCGATATGATAGCCACCTTCAATTATATATAGGGCTGCCACATGGGAAAAGCTTGTTTTCTCCTGCTCCAGAGGCAAGGACACAAACCAATGGGTTCAAGTTACGAGAAAAGAGGTTCCGGCTAAACACCAGGACGAATTTCCTGACAGTAAGAGCTGTTCAGCAGTGGAGCAGACTCCTTTCCATAGAGGTTTTTTTAAGCTGAGGTCGAGTGGCCATCTGTCATGGATGCTCTAGTTGAGATTCCTGCATTGCAGAGGGTTGGACTAGATGGGGTCCCTTCCAGCTCTACATTTCTATGAGTCTGAGACCCCAGTGAGTCTTACTGATGAGTAAATCTGAATAGGCACATTTATTTAATTATTTAAAGGGTTTATGTGCTGCCCTTTTCAGGCATCGCCTTTGTAAGGTGGTGTACAGAAATGAGAGAAGATCCAGGCCATTTGCATTTGAGCAATGACCCCGTGACTAAATAACAGGAAACCCAGAGACTCAGGAATCAAGTAGCATAAACACTTTGGGGATAAATGAGCCTTTAAGGCTTGCACGGAAGCAACCATGCGTAGTTCCACAAGACGGGAATTTCACAAGTGATGAATAGCTTTAAACATACGGGGCTGCCTCCATTTAGACTCTGGCTGTGCTGCAATGGTTTCCAGCTCCTTTAGGTTCTCTTGCCACAAAATGTTGGTATGTGTTCCACACCTACAGCAAATGGGTTCTGTCTGTAGGGGAAAAGCATGATATGCAAAAATATATATAAAATGGTTCATTGTAACCATTGTAAATCCACACTGTTCATTCAAGCTCAAAAAACAGTCTTTCTCGCATATTCTTCTCTAATTCCAACTTCTGAAACTTGCATTTTGTACTTGCCAGCCAGTAGGTAGCTATCTTCAAAGCATGATTACAATAGGCAAGGCCAAAAAGCAGAGGAGCAAGGAATCATGAGCAATCCCTCCAAGAAAGGGAGTGAGTGCTTCTAGCTGATCTGTTTATTCAGCAGTCAGCCTCATAACTTTGCAGGGAAATCAGATGATGCATTTAATGAACATTCATTCGGATTTGTTTGCTGGTAGGTTACATGATATTGCAGCACAGCAAGAGCTAACTCGTAGTTTCCTGTACATTTTCATGGCACTTGCCTCATCTTGGGGGTGGAGGTGGGGGGAGTTGGGTTTGTTCCACAAGAGCTCCCACTCAACTATGATTGTGCTGGTTCAAGGAAAAATGAGAACTCCTGGATGTCACGATCCAAGTTTGTGGCAAGTACTCTGGTGAGAGAACCCCAGCTGTGCTTTAAAATATGCAGCAAAGTAAAGTGTGGAAGCAGCAAAGTAAAGTGTGGAAATATAGGCTGTTAGAGCTTTAAAATGTTCCCTTTCAAGTGAGTTAAAAAATGTCGCCTTAAAAAGGTTCTTTCCAAAGCTTCCCTCTTTCCCCAGCATAGGAAAAGACCACATGTTTCGTAAGTTTGCAGACTTAACATATAGAATAAGAGAACAAGAAGAACATATGTTTAGAGAAGATTGGAAAACATTTATTGAATATAAGGTGGGGGGGAATTGTGTACACTTGAAAACGTTGGCAGCATTAAGATAAATTCAGCAGTGTAAATAAGTTTTGATGGATGCAATAATGGAATACTGAATGGTTTAGTTTTTGTAAAATATGCAGGGATTTACGATATGCAAAATGAACCATGGAAAGAGAAGAAGGGAAGTCATTGATATTTTAAGGATGTTTAAATGAGTATTCTAAATGAGTTTAAATGAGTACTCTAAATTGTAAAACAGAAAATTTAATTAAAAAATTATAAAATAGACATGTTTTCTAAGTTAAATATACATAAGTACAAATTTTTATTTGTATGCCACCTTTCCATAGTTAAAACCGTGCTCAAGGCAGCTTACAACATGAAAAAAAAATTACATAATTACAAGTTCTCTGAATTTTGTCTCTCTTCTTTTTCAGATGGGTGCCGTGTGTTTCCCCCTGATCTTTAGATGTTGTTGATGCCTGCGGTCTTGCATCTCCGCAAGAAGACTCACACTCCCGACTGCATTAATGTTCCCTGTGGTGTGAATTTCTGTAGCAAAAAGTAGAAAAATGCACTGTAGAGGCTTGTTCTCCAGCTTGCTTCATTATATATATATTATAAAATTTACTTTTGGGAGAATCAGGACTGTAACATCCCCCATAAAAATGATCCCTTTTAAACTGTCTGTGCACATACACCCAGACTGATAGTAGGGAACAGATGGGAGGCAAGGAAATAGCTGATTTTGTGCATGTAATGGTGCATGCATTGTTGGTGCTAGTGTGCACATGTTTTCGCATAATTTAAAAGCGATGTTCATCAGAGACTGAAGGAGGACCCCACAGCCTCCAGCAAGCTCAGGGGTCTCCTCCTGACTTCCTCTCCACCAAGGATGAGTGATCACGAGAATGGCAGAAGTGTGTTTCTCTTTTGCTGGCCTAGTTAGCATTTGCAGTTGCTTTGAGAAAGGCCGTGTCTCACCTGAGGCCATTTGAAATAAACGGGTTTCACGTCTGTGTTGAATTCTGGCCAGTGACTGCCTTGCAAGTGAACCAAAAGAGGTAGCAAAGAGAGCCTTTATTGGCCCTGCCGGTCCAACGTTAACTTGTTTTTTGCAGCAACTCTGAATGCAAAGAAGGGAGAGTTTTCACCATGGAGTAGGACAAACTCCACCTGCTAGAACTCCCTCTTCTACACATCTGTTAAGGGTCCCTATCCCAGAGATGGCAAGGAATAGAGCAGGGCTGGAGACTCTCCAGACCTCTGTAGTTCTCTTCCCAGGCTATACAACCTTGGTTCTCTTCCCAGGCTATACAACCTTCCCAGCCACACTGTCTCCCAGTCCTGCTTCTCACCCTCCTTGAGTGCTGGAATGTGCCTTTGAACTTTGGCTCTGCCCATCTCTGTGGCCTGTGGCCCCCAGAAGGTTGCCTATAAGGGCATGTGGCCCTGGGGATGAAATGGGTTCCCCCACCCTAAAGGAACAATGCCACTCCTCCCATTCAGAATCAGTGGCTGATGGCAGCTCTCAACGCTTACTGAAAGCTCAGGCTGGTATTCTAGCCTTATAACTCTCTGCCTTACTTCTTCATGGGCCACAGAGACCTATTCTTGCTCCACTGAACTGCCTCTCCATTTACTTCTCATTCCAAATAATGCCTCGGTCCAGTATACCTGAAGGAGCATCTCCACCTCCATCGTTCTGCCCAGACACTGAAGTCCAGCACCGAGGGCCTTCTGGCGGTTCCCTCGCTGCAAGAAGCCAAGTCACAGGGAACCAGGCAGAGGGCCTTCTTGGTAGTGGCACCCGCCCTGTGGAACACCCTCCCACCAGATGTCAAAGAGAAAAACAACTACCAGACTTTTAGAAGACATCTGAAGGCAGCCCTGTTTAGGGAAGCTTTTAATGTTTAAATAGGTTATTGTATTTTAGTGTTTTGTTGGAAGCCGCCCAGAGTGGCTGGGGGGACCCAGCCAGATGGGTGGGGTATAAATAATAAATTATTATTATTATTATTATTATTATTATTATTATTATTATCAACGGTCTGGGCCTGGTTAGTAATTTACCTGCTCCCACCATACGCAACATTTCTCCGGTGAAAATAGGGATGTCCTGTTCAATATTATATTTATTTTATTATTATGTATACTCTCCCCATCTGACTAAGTTGCCCCAGCCACTCTGAGCGGCTTTCAACATATGTAAAAACATATTAAAACAATTAAAAAATTAAAAAACCCCTTCCCTATACAGGGCTGCCTTTGGATATCTTCTAAAGGTTGTACAGTGGTACCTCGGGTTACATATGCTTCAGGTTACATATGCTTCAGGTTACAGACTCCGCTAACCCAGAAATAGTACCTCGGGTTAAGAACTTTGCTTCAGGATAAGAACAGAAATCGCGTGGCGGTGGCGCAGCAGCAGCAGCAGGAGGCCCCATTAGCTAAAGTGGTGCTTCAGGTTAAAAACAGTTTCAGGTTAAGAACGGACCTCCGGAATGAATTAAGTACTTAACCCGAGGTACCACTGTATAGTTATCCTTGGCTCAGTGGGGTCACATAACTCCATACCCGCCAACATTTCTCTGATGAAAATAGGGACGCCCTAAGGAAAAGCACGGTATTCTGGGATCAAACCAGGAACAGGGATGACTTCTGTAAATCTGGGGCTGCCCCTGGAAAATAGGGACATTTGGAGGGTCTGGCTCCCACCACATGCACTTCCCTATTCTTTTAAGATCAGATTAGGAGGCTCTGCTCTGGGGTTCACCTGCTGATGAATAAGGATTCATGAGTGTTTCCTGGCATGGCTTGTTTTGTGGTGGCACCACAGCTATGGAATAGCCTCCCCCCAAGAAGCCCACCAGGCGCCGGCCCTGCCTAGTTTTTAATGGCATTTCTTAGGCAGTTTGAGATCATATATATTTACCACCAAATACTCATATTTTTTTTATTTAAAAAAAATGGAATGCTTTATTCGTTCATAGCTCATCACACTTTGGTCACTGTTACATTTTGACACAGTTCAGTATCAGGATACAGGGAAACGGGTAACAAGGGAAGAAAATATCGCAAACCATTGACATAATCAATGTCCCTTCGCAGTGCCGCAAAGGGCCCGGGCACGTTCTACCGTGAAGCATTCTTGTTGGAAAAGTACAGTGAAGTGTCAACATTTCAAATGCAAATCGTGGTTAGAAAAGTTTGTTTAAATAAATAAATAAATAAATAATAGCCGGCGCGACCTGATCCTTTACCTAAACCACTCTACATTGAAATAAGCCTGTTTGGTGGTTCTGGCAAGAGGAAGGAACTGCCATGCCTGTTAAGGAACATAAATGAGGAAGCCACTCTAAACCTATATCTTTAATATCTGGCCAAGCTACCAGTAGCTCCTTACATTTCTGCTGGGGGAAACAGCCACACACTGCAGGTCCTTGATATTTGCACAGGAACCAGCAGCTCCAGAGAGAATGCAAGATAATGCTGAGAATCAAATGATTAGCTGCTGTGCCCTGTCCTGATCTACAGAGCTCCTGGTGGGCACTGACCTCATTTCTCCTCTGCTCTGCTCCTTTGCGGGCGTTCCTTAAAAAGGAAGCGGCGGAACAGAGTAAGCAGCAAAGAGCTATAAGGCACAAGATTGTCCTGAGCATGTCTACACTACCACCTTAAAAGCTAACGGTCATTCCTTCTCCAGAAAGCGAAAATAAATATGCAAATAAGAATATATATATTTCTAAATAAATAACAATATATAAGTTACTTGCCAGGGACAAAGCTGTCTCATTATGCCACTCTTCTCTGCTTCCTAACTCTTCCCAGCCTCCTTCAATAAATTAAGCTGACATTCAATAAATAAGTTACTTAAATAGATAATAAAAATAGAAATAACCCGCCCCCAAAAGCTGGCAAGAATAACAACAGGTTGAAAGCGCAAGCAATCTTAGTCTGACGAAACAAGGATTTCGCCGCTGTTGTTGCTGGGTTTTCCTTATGTGCCTGCAGCGCATCATTTGCGCATGAGTAGGATGCAACTTTGGGTTGCAGGAGTCCACAGTGTACTACAAGGTCACTCATTAGTCTGTGTGCCAAGCGCCATCTGCTAAGCTCTCCTGCTCCGTTTCTCCCAAACGTCGAATTGTTCCGTCGTTGTAATTACACGGCAAGAAAACCCACTTGTCCAAGAAAGCTTCCAAGGATGTCCCGGGTTATTTGAAGACGTAACTCGGGCTGATGATGCCAGGGTTGTGGCCCATCATGCTGAGGGGATCGGACGACTCAACGTTCAGTTCCTGTTCATAGAAGTCGTAGTCCACGAACACGGGTTCGAGGGGGATCTTGTTGACTAAGGGCAAGAACTGGGAGAACGGAGGCAGCTGGTGACTCCGAGGCAGGTTCCCCATCGAGCTGAGGCTGACGGGGATATTGTAGCTTTCAGAGTAGTAGAGGTTGTAGCCGTCGCGGAGAACCTTCTCGTGGAAGTTGCAGGCCTCCTCAGAATACGATAACTATTGGGGGAGGGGGGAGGGAAAGACATGAGGTTTTATGCATTCGTATAATTGTGCAAAATCTAACATCCACCATATCAGGGGTGGGGAAAACCTTGGCCATCCAGATGTTGCTGAACTACAATTCCCATCATCCCTAGCTATGGATCAAGCTAGCTGGAGCTGATGGGAGTTGTTGTTCAGCCACAGTTTTCATCACCCAATCATTATGGAGGCATAGAATTGGAAGGTAGCCAGTTTTGCAACTGAAGTATCCTAGAAGAGGACTAGCCAGCCTTTGCTTAAATGCCTGCAGTGAAGGATAGCCTGCAACTTTCTCTGGAGGGAGACTGTTCCCCTGGTTAACAGGTTTTACTGTTTAGGGAATTTAGCGATGGGGAATAACTGCACCACAGAAATCGGATAAGTGTGAATTTCAAAGGGTAGCTGTGTTTTTCAGTTTTCATATTGTTCTGAAAAGTCTGAATTTGATAGATTTACCTTTAAAACGTGAACTGAATCAAATTTCTATCCCCTTTCCTAATTGTTTACGAATGATGGAAATTGCCTCATCCTTGCAGTTTCTGCCCACTGGATTTTTTCCAGACACCCAGAAAATCAATCCTGAGGTCCCTGGTTATTTGCAGATGGAGAGATCTAGAGAGTTCAGTCTTTCCTAGATGCATTGCAGCACACAAGATGGCCACGCAATCTGCAGCCAGCAGCCGCAGGTTGATTCTACAGTGGCTGCATCCCAGCCCCAGACTGAGCTGATCATATGCCTTGCAGACCAGCCCTAGTCACTATGTCATGATCTGCATGCGATCAAGAACAGGTGCGAAGCAGGGCAGGAATGGAATGGAATTCCACCACAACGTGTTGGCCTTCCAGCAAAAGGTTTTAGTTCCCTCCCCTGGCCAAAGGGTCTATTTTAATTGGCCACACCGCACAGAATCATAGAACGGCAGAGTTGGAAGGGACCACAAGACTCATCTAGTCTAACCCCCTGGCAATGTGGGAATCTTTTGCCCAACGTGGGGCTCAACCCATGACCTTGAGTTTAAAAGTCTCATGCTCTACTGCCCGAGCATAATCTCAGAATTTGGTTCAAGAATTTAATATATTTTATCATTTGTTTATTGACTTCAATCATTTATATCCTGGTCATACGGGAAAACATTTTGTGAACGAGTCTAGAGCAGGATTGTCCCACACGCAACCTCCTCTGAACTCACACTCTGAACTGCCTCTTCCCCAAACACATGCAGGCATCTTAACTTACCGAGCCATAGAGGCGTCCATTTGGCTTCATACAGAGAAATCTTGAGGTCTTCATGGCCTGCATGCGAATGATTCCTGGCTTGACTGCTTTGATCTCCATCAAACCTGGGGGGGGGGGGCAGCAGAGAACAGGTGGTGAAGGATGAGAACCCAGGAGTCCTGGACCTTTTATTCTGCCCATTCAGCCTATTCCAATCCACCAGTAACCCTGGCCTGCCATGTCTGTATGGGGACCAGATTCAAAGTCAAAGAACATTCATATATTTTTTAAAATCTCTGATCCACTCTTTCCCCTATTCTTTCCCCTCTCAAATATTCATTGAGCCCACATACAAAGGAGAACAAGAGACCCCTACAAGTATGACCTGTTTATTGAGAGTTTGTCCTGATTCATTTGCACAAAACATAGTGTTAGATTCCATCTGGCCTTTATTGAGCATGTGCTTATAGGGTAGTTTTACAACAATGAGCATTCATCCTGATTCACTTTATGGGGTGCTCACATGTCTTCCCATTAATCATTTGTTCATCCCGTGCTTTTCAGTCCGTTCCCCCATCACTTTCCTAACTGCAAAAAGCCTGATCCTTCTTTTCAAGTGGATTTGTTGTGCCAGGACGAGAGAGCACTTTAACTGTGCGAACCTAAAATGCCAATATGTGCTTGAGTCCTTTCCACAAAACAGTGACAGTCTGGAGGCATCTAAAGTCTTTGTAGCATTCATTTGTTGTACAGAAGAGGGAATTTCAGAAGGTGCCGCTCATCTCAGAAGAGTGCCAAACTCTGCATCTGCTGAACTACCCTCTTCCATAAAATTATTTTGGCTTCTTGCACCCCTTTCCATCCCCAGAACATGAGGAGTCCTGCCCAGCCAGCCCCTTATAGACCTCCAACTACATTAACTGGAGTGAGAGATGCTATCTCTCTATATATCTATCTCTCTGTATCATCTGTCTGTCTGTCTGTCTGTCTAATGCTTTTCTCAACCTGTGGGTCCCCAGATGTTGTTGAACTACAACTCCCATCATCCCTAGCTAGCAAGGCCAGAGCTCAAGGATGATGGGAGTTGTAGTCCAACAACATCTGGGGACCCACAGGTTGAGAACTGCTAGATTATCTATCTGCCTCATGCCACTTGAAAGAACGTGAAGGATTTCCCCAAATACTTACTGTATATGTTCTGGTATCTGGAGCCGCGCACTGCACCATCTGGCATGATCTCCAGGTGGAGTTGCGTCTGGTCATCCGCCGTGTACAGGTGGCGAAGCCGGACTTGCCCATCGAACTGTAAGAGGGGGCTGGAATTTGGTAGGGGGAAAGCAGGAGCCATGGGGAGCAGCAAGGCAGCCCAGAAAATCAGGCAGACGAGAAGATGGTGGAGGGCTACAGGAATGGCCAGCATGGCTGAAGAAGGCCCAGCCCAAGACAAGAGAATCAGGGTGCCAAAGACAGGGGCAGAAAGAAACTGAGAGCAAGATTCTAGTCCTCAGCCTTTAGCGGTTGCCCTAATCCTTTCTTGAAAGACCCCAAGAGTCCTGGCTTCAACTTACTAGGACTTGCAACCGGGAAATGGTGTTGAGCCCAGGTGGTCCTGAGTCCAAAAGGGAATGCAGTCCTCTGAAAACTGTTCAATGGGGTTTGCTTATTTTAGAAAGGAAGGAAGAAAAACCCAAACCACCTCGAAATAAGGGAAAGAGGCGAATAACTCTCTCTTTTCTTGCTTCAGCTGTCTCACTCCAGGTTTGCTCCTGTCCAGCAGGAACAGAGGTGTATATATACCACAGCAGAGGTAGATGCCCTTCCCCTTGGCGTTCACTCTGCCCACATCCTCCTCCCTCCTAATCCTGCCCGCTCCTGCTTCCCCACACTCTCTAGGTCTGTGTATGAGTCACGGGATGCCTATCACCGCTGCCCCTAACGTGGGGTCACGAGGATGCCAAAGTCTAAATATTATCATTCCACAGCTGCTTTCATGCCGCCGACAGGAAAGAATGATGTAACTTTGGGGAATACAGGAGTTAGAGAAAGGCACGTTGTGCGGTGGGAAGGGGGAAAGCAATGGAAACGAGTGCGAAAGCCTCGACAACCTGACAACCGTCCAGCAACGCACCAGAGTTGGTCTGGCTGCGCATCTATTTGTCATTCTGAACACCCACACCTGAGCCCACGACGTTCCCCACACACTGAGCTCATGCACGAACCTGATGTTGGAAGTGCAACAGCGGGGATAATTCGGTGTTAATTCTATTAATCATAGAAATCAAATAATGGTAGAGTTGGAAGGCACCCTGAGCCTCATCTAGTCTAACCCCCTGCAATGCCAGAATATGCAGCTGTCCCATCCGGGAATCGAACCTGCAACCTTGGTGTTATCAGCGCTACGCTCTAACCAGCTGAGCTATCCCTCTATTGTTAAAGTCAACTAGCCAAGAGTGGGAAGGTACTGCTTGGGGATCAGGCAGAGGAAAGGAGGAGCGTGGCATGGGAGAGAGAAGGAAAAAGTGTGTCGTAGGCCCACCCATTGCACATACCCCTTCTTGCCCCACCTTCAATCCAAGCCTGCACCTAGTTTCAGAAGGTGGGAATTATAGCTGTGGGTTAAACCACAGAGCCTGGGACTTGCCGATCAGTAGGTCGGTGGTTCAAATCCCCATGACGGGGTGAGCTCCCGTTGTTCGGTCCCAGCTCCTGCCAACCTAGCAGTTCGAAAGCACGTCAAAGTGCAAATAGATAAATAGGTACCGCTCCGGTGGGAAGGTAAACAGCGTTTCCATGCGCTGCTCTGGCTTGCCAGCAGCGGCTTAGTCATGCTGGCCACATGACCTGGAAGCTGTACACCGGCTCCCTTGGCCAATAAAGCGAGATGAGCACCGCAACCCCAGAGTCGGTCACGACTGGACCTAATGGTCAGGGGTCCCTTTACCTTTAACTTTATGGACATTGCCACATGCCACCAAAATCAACAAAATCTAGCCTCATTCAGCATCAGGTTTTGTTGTTGTTTAGTCGTTTAGTCGTGTCCGACTCTTCGTGACCCCATGGACCAGAGCACGCCAGGCACTCCTGTCTTCCACTGCCTCCCGCAGTTTGGTCAAACTCATGCTGGTAGCTTCGAGAACACTGTCCAACCATCTCGTCCTCTGTTGTCCCCTTCTCCTTGTGCCCTCCATCTTTCCCAACATCAGGGTCTTTTCCAGGGAGTCTTCCCTTCTCATGAGGTGGCCAAAGTATTGGAGCCTCAGCTTCACAATCTGTCCTTCCAGTGAGCACTCAGGGCTGATTTCCTTCAGAATGGAGAGGTTTGATGGGACTCTCAAGAGTCTCCTCCAGCACCATAATTCAAAAGCATCAATTCTTCGGTGATCAGCCTTCTTTATGGTCCAGCTCTCACTTCCATACAGCACTACTGGGAAAACCATAACTATTACTATACTATACTATACTATACTATACTATACTATACTATACTATACTATACTATCAGGTAGGTCCCATCTTGAAGAGGCTTCAGAGGCATACCTAGGCTCATTTGCACCCGTGGCAAGGAGCTGTATCAGTGTCCCGTGTCCACTGGCTGCCCAAAACAGTGGAGGAGGAGCCCAGGGGGTGCGCAGACGGATGGACGGGCTCCTAGCCACTCCGAGCCAGAGTGAAGAGGCACAATTTTGCACACCTGCACCCTGGGCCGGGGCCCTTGGCGGAGGCCAGCTTAGCCAACCCCTGGGTACGTCCTTGAGAGGCTTTTCCTCTCGTGGGAGAGTGCCTCTTCGCAGACAGTGCCTTCCGTTTGCCATTTATACAAATGCCAAAAACAAATCTTTAAACTTAAATAAATCATTAACTTGAATCAGTTTTTACAACCCTCCCATTAAGTTGCCGCTATTCATGTCCTGTTGACTTTAGAACATCCATAAATACTGTATATATCTGCATGTAACATTTCCTTGTATTCAAATCGCAGATTCACAAATGTCATCTTGCCTTTACATTAACGCTGTCATGTGTTATTGGCCTATTGTATGTCTAGAGCTGGGATCAAGGCCATATCCTGCACACCAAGATTTCTTTATTGGAAAGGGATGTCTGAAGGACTGTGGTATAAACGTTAGCAGTAATATAACTGTATTTGATGTTACCCACCCTGGGATCTTATGGGGAAAAGTAGATGAGATATCTTATGAGCAACACAAGGATTTTGGGAGGCGGCGATTTCTGTCACAAGCAGCACTGTTTCCGTTCCGCTACAGTTTGGCTTCTGCTGAAACCTATGTAACTCATCTCACTATCCGAAATTAATGCAATAACAACAAAGCAGAAAAAAGTAATGTGATGGTTTATGAAACACTGAAGACCAAAAAAATAATAATGGTGAGTATTGCTCATCATCGCTTGCATGGCTTCCGTTCCTGACTTCAAACACACAGGCGAATTGTGGCAATTTCTGTTCCGGTTTCTGACAGAATTCTCTGACATGTCCAGAAATGGCAGGCCTGCCCTACTGTTAGGTACAGCGAATCAGCTGCCTTAAGTGGCAGAAGCTGTGGCTGTGTTTGGGGCAGTCTGCCTGGCTCTTGCTGCTCAATTCCCTACTCCAGTCCTGTTGGAAGACACAGCTCTGTGTGCCATCACTGGTGCTGAAGCCAGTAAGATTCAGCTGCCAGCCTGGATAACGTCTGTAGAGGAAATGGGAGCAGAGCAATCATGCCCTTTGCTTCAGGCTTGGGCTGGTCCTGTTTGGCCAGGAAAGGTCCCCTCCTTTCTATCACCCATTCATGATGATACGCGCTCATGATGCTATCAGGGCAGTCACATGCGATTCTGCTTTTAATGCTGTTTGCGCCTGAAAACATCTTGGGTTGGCCACGCTGCTTTGTTCCCAGTCACTGCGAGTCCCGTAACTTCCCGTTGAATCCTGACATCTCTTCATAGCGTAAGTGGTTTGTTTTTGCCCCAGTTTTGTTGGGCTATAGCTCCTCCGGACAGCGACAACGTGTCAGCGTTTGGGAAGCATTGCAGAACCAACGGAAGATCAGATCCACCACCAAGGCACTATTATTGCATCATGGATACGCTGAAGGAATGCAGCTGCAATAAAACGCCGGTCTGGAGTGTGCTGTTGATTTCCCCTACTAAGAAAAAAAAAGCAAAGGAAGCTGGACTTTGGAGGAAGCTGGCCACCTGTGAAATTGTACCTAAGCGCTGAGATCAGGAGGAGGGTTCCCAGCAATAGGGACGTGCTATTTCCATGATGCTCTGGTGAGCTTTCATTAAAGCAGCCTCCGCAAATCCGGATGAGGTTCACCTGCTGCTTCTGACTATGACACACACACACACACACACACACACACACACACTTTCCCTGTTTGGGAAATTACAAACTTTCCTGTTGTAATTTGGGAATTTCTTTTTGGAGGAAGGAGAGGTTGGGGTTGAAGGTTGACCTACTCAGCCACTTCCGCAGCTCACAGACATTTCTCAGCTGAAGGCCATAAAATATTTGCGTTTTTGGCAAAGATGATGGGAGTCAGGACCCCTGTATGGAAACCTGATGACTCTTTTCCTCCCTTGACTTGCTTCATTCAAATTTTCCCACCTCCCCTCCATGCATTTCCAAAGTAGTGGGGATTTGTGGATTAGGCAATGTTGCATAGTGGTTAGAGCACTGGACTAGGACCAGTGCTTTTTTCCTGCGGGGACACAGGGCTAGGCATGTTGGGACGCTTCCAAGGGAACGGGGGCAATTGGCAAGCCCCCAGCTGGCTCCAGCCCACCGGCCGACGTGCGGGTCAAACGCCAGCCCTTGGTGCAGCATGAAACTGCGGCCCAGAGCTTCAGAAGCTGGGCACGCAACTCAGCAGAGTAAACGCACAACAGAGGTAGCAGGGAGAAGCTATGAAAAGCATATTTACAGCAGTTTATTCAGCGTATATCAGGTCAAAGGAAAAACGTGTCTTCTCCTAACAAGGCATACCCCTAAACATTTTGTGAATCTAAGTTTGGCCTCATTGAGGGGCAAAACACAGGTGGCGCTGTGGATTAAACCACAGAGCCTATGGCTTGCCGATCAGAAGGTTGGTGGTTCGAATCCTCGTGACGGGGTGAGCTCCTGTTGCTCGGTCCCTGCTCCTGCCCACCTAGCAGTTCGAAAGCACGTCAAAGTACAAGTAGATAAATAGGTACCACTCCAGCGGGAAGGTAAATGGTGTTTCCGTGCGCTGCTCTGGTTCACCAGTAGCGGCTTAGTCATGCTGGCCACATGACCCGGAAGCTGTCTGTGGACAAACGCCGGCTCCCTCGGCCCATAGAGCGAGATGAACACCGCAACCCCAGAGTTGTCCGCAACTGGACCTAACGGTCAGGGGTCCCCTTACCTATTTTAATATGAGTAGGAAAATGAGAGTACCCCTAAACATTTTTTTAGAAAAAAAGCACTGACTAGGACTCAGGTGGTTTGGGTTCAAATCTCTACTCAGCCATGAAGGATGTGCTCTCTGTCTAACCTTTCCTGCAGGGTTGTTGTGATGAATCATAGAATTGTAGAGGTGGAAAGGACCGTGGGGATCATCTAGTCTAAGCCCCTACAACGCAGGAATCTTTTGCCCAATGTGGGTCTCAAAAACCCATGACTCTCAGATCAAGAGTCTCATGCTCTACCGACTGAGCTATCCCTCAGGTCATAAGAAGAGCCTGCTGGATATCAGTACAGTGGTACCTCAGGTTACAGATGCTTCAGGTTACAGACTGTGCTAACCCAGAAACAGTACCTCGGGTTAAGAACTTTGCTTCAGGATGAGAACAGAAATTGTGCTCCGGCGGCGTGGCAGCAGCAGGAGGCCCCATTAGCTAAAGTGGTGCTTCAGGTTAAGAACAGTTTCAGGTTAAGAACGGACCTCCGGAACAAATTAAGTTCTTAACCCAAGGTACCACTGTATATTAGGAGAAATCAGCACTAAAAAGGCTTTAAAAACAAGTTGCAAACCTGTGAGGAGATGTGGAGAACCAGACTTAAGACTGGGAAAAATCAGAAACTGAATTGACAGATTCACCCATCTCCCTACCCCATTCTGAGTAAACATACACAAGAGTCTGCTGTGTCATGGAATTCAGGTATAGGTCTTGGCCAGCTCAGAAGCGAAGACTCAGTTCTCAGCTATAAAATGGGAACAACTTTAACCACATGTAAAAGCCAGAACACCTGTTCTCCACGAGGAACAGAAGCCTTCTCCTGCCTGCTGCCTCCTCCCAAAAGTTTTGGACTACAACACCCATCATCCATGGCCACGGATGAGCTGTGGCTCATGGGAGTTGTAGTCCAACACATCTGGAGGGCCTATTGTGGGGAATGCTGACCTATAGGATAAAGAAGTTCAGAACAAGAGTCACAGACAGCCTCCCCCACGTGCAGGGGCTGTGCCACGTTTCCAAAAATCCCAGGTGTGGGTCCTCAGAGAGGCTTAATGGAAAATCAACTATTTATTCTCCGCACAACAAACATAAATATCTGTCTAACCGAGTCTCTGCCTATTTTTAGTGTCTTTTAATCACGAGCATCGGAAATGTACAGTACATGCCAAATAAAGAAAGGTTATTTTTAGTTCAGATGTATTGCTCTACTTACAGCGAGCACCTTCCAAAAATATAGAAATTCCTTGGGTTGGGGGAGATTTCCTGGTGAATTCATCTGAGTTATATGAAGGCCAAATGTAATGGAAACTGAATTACAAGTGCCAGGACTGAATTTATAAGCATATTTCACATTTCCCAGGAATTAACTATGTTTAAGAGTAAACGATGAAGAAGAGTTGCCCAAAGGTGTGAAGTGAAAAGGGCAGTCTGTGTTGAATGCAGACGTGGGGGGAAATTATCTATGGGGCATAAGAAGAGCTCTGCTGGATCAGGCCCCTGGCCCAACTAGTCCAGCATCCTGTTCTCTCATGGGACAGCCAGGTGCCTAATTTCTCAGTTTTAATTCTTCCTTGCACATCATTAGCATACCAAAAAACAGCAACACACAAATCCAAGAGTCGAGTAAGAGGCACAGTTTCACTGAATGCCCTTTTTGGAGATTTTGGGAACAGTCCTATGCGCAAGAAGCTGGCATAAAGGAAGCTGGACTAAAGGAAGCTGGAATAAAGTCACACCAGATCCAAAGTGGGGTCACTCAGAGGAGAAGATGGTGAAATGCAAACAGGGGACACAGAAAGGGCTGAACTCCTCAATGCCTTCTTTGCCTCAGTCTTCTCCGATAAAGAAAACAATGCCCGACCTGAAGAATTTGGAGCAAATGATTCAGCAGAGGAAACACAGCCCAGAATAACTAAGGAGATAGTACAAGAATACTTGGCTAGTTTAGATGTATTCAAGTCTCGTTAGATCCTAAAACTAAGAACTTATCAAGAATGTATAACTTGCTGTTGAAATGGAATACACAGGATGAAACGGTTAAATCTGTTATGATTAAATGGGCACAAGACTTTGGACATAACATTATGTTTGCTGACTGGGAACAGTTATGGACCACAGGTATGAAATTTACGGCTTGTAATGCCTTAAGAGAAAATATAATGAAAATGATTTACAGGTGGTACTTAACCCCAGTCAAGCTAGCAAAAATCTATCATTTGCCAGATAGTAAATGTTGGAAATGTAAAGAGACTGAGGGCACATTTTTTCACCTTTGGTGGACATGCCCAAGGATTAAGGCTTTCTGGGAAATGATATATAATGAATTGAAAAAGGTATTTAAATATACCTTTCTGAAGAAACCAGAGGCCTTTCTTCTGGGCATGGTCGGCCAATTGGTGCGAAGGGAGGATAGAACTTTTTTTATGTATGCTACAACAGCAGCAAGAATACCCATCGGAAAGTACTGGAAGACACAAGAATTGCCCACCCGAGAAGAATGGCAGATGAAAGTGATGGACTACATGGAACTGGCTGAGATGACCGGCAGAATTCGAGACCAGGGAGAAGGGTCGATGGAAGAAGATTGGAAAAAATTTAAAATATACCTTCAAAAATACTGCAATATAAAAGACTGTTAGAAAGAGGTTGGAAAAAGAAAATTAGGTCGTTTTGGTAGATATGATATAAAGGATTAAGCAAAAATGAGTTGATGAAATTGACGAAACAGAGGAGGTTTAATTACATTATTTTAATTTAAAATACGTAAATGAAAATAAGGTTAGAAGGATTTGCTGGAAATACGATCTGAACTAGAATACAAAATTGGGAGGTGAGAGGAGGTCATGGAAATAAGTAAAGGGAAAAGGCTATGTAAAGGTTTAATCTGTTTTCGTTTTATTTTTAACTTAATGCATTTTTATATTTTTTGTTAAGTCTTCTTTTTTACTCTATTTTATTGTTCACTTTTATCTTTTTATTTTTCGCTTTGTTATGGTTAAAGTTTTCTTTGTATTTTGTATGGTTTTTCTTTCTCTTTTTTGTAACTTTAAACTTGGAATAAATATCATTTAAAAAATAATAATAGATGTATTCAAGTCTCCAGGGCCAGATGAACTGCATCCAAGAGTATTAAAAGAACTGGCAGATGTGATCTCAGAACCACTAGCAGTCATCTTTGAGAATTCCTGGAGAACAGGCGAAGTCCCGGCAGACTGGAGGAGGGCAAATGTTGTCCCTATTTTCAAAAAGGGGGAAAGAGAGGACCCAAATAATTACCGCCCAGTCAGTCTGACATCAATACCAGAGAAGATTCTGGAGCAGATCATTAAGCAAACAGTCTGTGAGCACCTAGAAAGGAATGCTGTGATCACCAATAGTCAGCATGGATTTCTGAAAAATAAGTCATGTCAGACTAACCTGATCTCGTTTTTTGACAAGCCTGTTAGATGAAGGGAACGCAGTGGATGTAGCCTACCTTGATTTCAGCAAGGCATTTGACAAGGTGTCCCATGATATTCTTGTAAAGAAGCTGGTAAAATGCGGTCTTGACTATGCTACCACTCAGTGGATTTGTAACTGGCTGACTGACCGAACCCAAAGGGTGCTCATCAATGGTTCCTCTTCATCCTGAAGAAGAGTGACTAGTGGGGTGCCACAGAGTTCTGTCTTGGGCCCGGTCTTATTCAACATCTTTATCAACAACTTGGATGATGGACTCAAGGGCATCCTGATCAAATTTGCAGATGACACCAAACTGGGAGGGGTGGCTAACACCCCAGAGGACAGGATCACACTTCAAAACGACCTTGACAGATTAGAGAACTGGGCCAAAACAAACAAGATGAATTTTAACAGGGAGAAATGTAAAGTATTGCACTTGGGCAAAAAAATGAGAGGCACAAATACAAGATGGGTGACACCTGGCTTGAGAGCAGTACATGTCAAAAGGATCTAGGAGTCTTGGTTGACCACAAACTTGACATGAGCCAACAGTGTGACCCGGCAGCTAAAAAAAAGCCAATGCAATTCTGGGCTGCATCAATAGGAGTATAGCATCTAGATCAAGGGAAGTAATAGTGCCACTGTATTCTGCTCTGGTCAGACCTCACCTGGAGTACTGTGTCCAGTTCTGGGCACCACAGTTCAAGAAGGACACTGACAAACTGGAACGTGTCCAGAGGAGGGCAATCAAAATGGTCAAAGGCCTGGAAACGATGCCTTATGAGGAACGGCTAAGGGAGCTGGGCATGTTTAGCCTGGAGAAGAGGAGGTTAAGGGGTGATATGATAGCCATGTTCAAATATATAAAAGGATGTCACATAGAGGAGGGAGAAAGGTTGTTTTCTGCTGCTCCAGAGAAGCGGACACGGAGCAATGGATCCAAACTACAAGAAAGAAGATTCCACCTAAACATTAGGCAGAACTTCCTGACAGTAAGAGCTGTTCGACAGTGGAATTTGCTGCCAAGGAGTGTGGTGGAGTCTCCTTCTTTGGAGGTCTTTAAGCAGAGGCTTGACAACCATATGTCAGGAGTGCTCTGATGGTGTTTCCTGCTTGGCAGGGGGTTGGACTCGATGGCCCTTGTGGTCTCTTCCAACTCTATGATTCTATGATTCTATGAAATCCTGTCTAAACTTGGCAGATTGAACACAACCCTTTAAAGCATACCCCTCAACAGTCCTGTTTTAAGTGGGAGATCCCGGAATTACAGAAGCCTTCCCATCTTCTGACTGCATCCCAGAACATCCTGTTTTGGGGTCCAGTACTCTGGCATGGTGGGACGCGGGTAGCGCTGTGGGTTATACCACAGAGTCTAGGGCTTGCTGATCAGAAGGTTGGTGGTTCGAATCCCCACGACGGGGTGAGCTCCCGTTGCTCGGTCCCAGCTCCTGCCAACCTAGCAGTTCGAAAGCACGTCAAAGTGCAAGTAGATATATAGGTACTGCTCCAGCGGGAAGGTAAACGGCGTTTCCGTGCGCTGCTCTGGTTTGCCAGAAACAGCTTAGTCATGCTGGCCACATGACCTGGAAGCTGTACGCCGGCTCCCTCGGCCAATAAAGTGAGATGAGCGCCGCAACCCCAGAGTCGGCCATGACTGGACCTAATGGTCAGGGGTCCCTTTACCTTTACCTTTATTACTCTGGCATGAGTCAGCTGGTTCCTGCAAAATCTTAGGCTGAGCATCCCAATTTTGATTGCAGGGTATTTGGGGGTATGTTAAAATAATGCTGTATTTCTGTTTTCCCCAGGTCATGTGACCAAGCTGAACA